GTGTAGTAGGGGGGAGTGGGGGGGGGGGGGAGAGTGCGACCATGATTCGTGCATTTGATATCGACACGCGTTGCCCAGCAGCGGTGACGTGTCCTAATCAGGTTTTCCTGGAAGCATTGACGGATCTTGATTACGTTGAAATCCTTGTTAATTATGGAGATATTCAGGTGACTGAAAGTGATGAAATTTTGAAATAATCAATTGTTGAGCTACACGCAAATGAGGAGGGTGGGGTACAAGCTTTATATGTCACTTGTCATGGTTCGCAAGGTTCACGCAATTTTCCCACATCCCTCCAAACATCCATCTCTTAACAAACACATGGCATATATCATATACTGTACTGAAAGGATACAGGAGAATATAAAATTAAATGGGTCAGTTTTACCGTAAGATCAGCTAATGACTTTCGTGGGTATTTATGAAATGTATTTACAGTATTTGCTTTACTAGCCTTTTCAATTGGCAGTTTTTGATAAATTCTCTTGTCTTTTGATTGGATGTTACTAGTTTCAACCCAATGGTGTCGGTTGCTTGAGAACTGGCTGATGGAATAATTTTCATTTCAGTTTCTTGGAGCTGGTATTGGCGAAAACTATGAAGAAGGATTCGACTTCGGGACGATGGGCGTTGGGGAGAAGCGTGACATGCGTTTCGCGCTGCGGAATGACAACCCGATCGAAATCAGGATCCGTGGATGGGGTTCGAATATGTCACGGTCGTATGTGGAGTTGCTGGGTTCGCAACGCGTTTCCGCCTTGAATCTCTTCCAGTTGCAAGACCTGCCTCTTCTACCGAAAACGGTAAAATTTTTTCGATTTAGTACTTCTCTCGGTTCTCATCTGCCTCCACGTGTTTCCGAAAACTGTATTAAAATATTGTACTCGACAAATTTTTACATATGACGCGAACCGACACTGAGGTTGGTTCATAAATTGCTGTTATTGTGAAATGTGGGGATACTCTTCACTGAGTAATGTTTGGTAGCTTTCTTATATTTTTCATTTTGCTTGCCCATTTTAGAATCACTATCAAGAGGAATTGGAAGTGCACAAATTCGAACTTCTACGGTTGCGTGTTCTATGAATATGCATGAACTTTAAAATGCTGACAAATAATTAGGAATATATTTCGAAGTCTGCGTCACAAAACCACGTTCCAATAAAGAAAAAAAAATAAAGAGTTCTGTCCTGGTCATTTTTGCGTTGATCATGTCGACGGCAAGTTCCTCTTATGAAAGCTCCATTAAGTTAAATAGAATATCGTTTCCGAGAAATGTGTTGACACGAACAAAGCTAGTTTTTGTTTATGTGATCACATTTATGAAGTTTCCCTCGTAAATCGAGACCTAGCCGTAGTCAAACTCAACGAAATTACTTTATATACGATTCAGGCGATAAAAATTCGGGATACAGTACTGGAGAAAACAATTAGCTTTCGCCGACATCCAGTTTTGATTGTAAGAATTATATCCTCTTCCGTTTCAGTTGGTGATTAAACCACATCATTTTATTCTCTTCCGGGTCGGGATTTTGTCGGCGCCCGAGCAAGAAGGGATGTATAACGCCCACGTGTTCATCGTGACTAGTTATCAAGACCTGTTCGTGCCTTTTCGTCTGCGCACAGCAAAGGGGACAATGTCTGTCCCCGGGGGAGGGAATCTGATTCAGCTCGGGAATTCATTTCCTGTAAGACGCGCGAAATGTTTCTCCTGTCTGCGAATTTTCTCTACATCCTCTGTATTTTGTAGGGGAAAATTACTGAGAAGACAGTGAGAATTCATTCGACGTTCCGACACGATCTAGTTGTAGATGACTTCACGTCGTTGCCTTCGGATGCGAGATTTACCTTCCATCCCACGGACTCGGGGAGTGCCAAGTTGACACCGGTTTTGCAGGCAGGAGAGATTTCGCTCATTGGACGACTGACGTACGATCCTGTGATTGGATGCAGTCCTTCGTGTTATTCGTCGCTGCACTTGCAGTCGAAACGTAATGTCTATGACGTTCTGTAAAGCTTATTCATCAAAGTCAACTAATTGTTGCTAAGATGACGGCGAGAATTCCCTATTTTTTCATTTTGTCCCACTTTTAATTGTACTGTAGCAAAATTCATGATCACAATTTACAAGTTATCTTCGTGGGTCCCTGAAGTATTGACTTTTTTTTCGTGTGTGAAATGCCCTGTATGAAGTTGTGAACTTCAATTTTGCTGCTTTTACCTTGTTTAAAGATTCCCTGTCGTTAAACTCCTGTGAAAATATTTTATCGTAGCCGTTAGGCGATGAATGTATTCGTTCGTTCTTTTGTAGTTGGCCAAGATTGGTTGAGTTCTTTGGTGCATCCGCCCTCGTTGACGGATTTGGACGTTTTTCTGTTCTCATCCATGAGAGAACGGTTCGAAAGGGACACGAGCGTGTCTCGTCAGCTGAATTTCACTTTCCAGTTGGACACAAACGAGGTATGGAGGTTTGAACTAGATACTCGAACAGGTGGATATGAGGAATAATGGATGCGGGACCATGTTTGGCTTTCCAGGTGAAAGGATTCCTTTTTCGGGCCCAAACTCGACTCGCCTGGCCCGAAGTAGTGGCAAAAAAGGAGCACACGTTCCCGATGACGCAAATTGGGAACTCGACTTTCACGGACGTGACCCTCACGAATCCTTCTTCGTATCCGCTCGTAGTACAGGCCTTTTTGCTGCCGACGAAAGATTCTTCCTACACGAGTCTGAAGAAAATGTTGCATCATCTTCGGAATTGGTTTGTTTGCTTTTAGATTAATTTTTCCCTCTTACACGTAGATGGGAAGTAACTGGGCATTAGATTGCATATAATGTTACTATGTAACACGAAAGTCAAAATTATACGATAATTCGATGAGCATTCCCAAAAAGTTGGCCTTTCAAATTCAATGTTTTCTGAAAAGATCCACTTTTATGATACATTTTTAGAAATACTTTACAGTACTAGAGATGTTTCAAAGATTTTTTCTGGGCCTTCTATGATTTGAAAAGATCTTAGAGCACTCAATTTTTTTTTTCAAATTTAAAATCCTCCGAACCATGTCAGGATGAATAACGAATAGTTAAAATTTGTTCAGTTGCAAGTATCTGATGCAAATTTATCATGCGAACCATTATTGAAATGGCAATTATCAAATTAATTCCTCCTTGTGAGGCTTTTTTCGAGGCTGATGCATGAAACCGTGATTGTCTTACTGTATCTTCTCGCGCATTGTGATTTATCAAATCGCGGTCCGTTGATGAATGCTTTTTGTTTCACTGCCAGGTTTTCTGCCGTGGATGATTTTGGCACATCAGCTGCCTCAGTTTTGATGCACGACGATCACGATGAGGAAGGTGTGAGCAACAGCGAGGACTCAGACCCCACTTCGAGACACGCCGGAGAGTCCTTCTCGTTCATTGATCTCGATTCGGACACCACGTTGCACGATAGCGCCCACGGGCCGTCGGCGAGTCAACCCGTGCAGCGTATCCACAACCTTCCGAATCTCAACGGAACGCTGTCCGTTGTGCTTGCTCCGGGAGCCAACTTGAGTCTACGCATCTCTTTCACGCCTGACTGCGAAATGCGTCACGAATCGTTGCTGGTTGTTCGGTGAGACGGAGTTTGAGAATACTAGGGATTTTGATGTGTAGGCGTGTGACGTGAAAGGGTCGATGATTTTCATTTCAAGGAACAACTTGACGGTGTTGGATCTGATGTTCCTGAAGGGCACCGGGGGACAGGGTCACTTGAGGTTTGGAAATCGAAGAGCCGGCTCCCCGATGCCCCTATTGTTTGACATTGCCGTGAAACATCTGAAGGATTGTGACAGTAAGTACAGTATTTCTCTTTCCATGAAATGCGCTTATAAATTTTATTTTTTCATGAGAGATTTGCGGGCGAATAAAGATTTCTGGACGTGCAGTTCTGATTTACAGTACAGTATTTGAATTTCAAAGTCCAATATTATTTGACTTGTGAAATGTTTTTAAAATTTAGATACAAAGTCTTCAGAAATTAAACGTGTTTTCAGTTGTATTTTCGCCTCAAATAGTCAAGATCTTTAATAATGGCATGTCACCGTACATGATTTTTAAAAATACCGTGTTTAAAAACTAAGTCTGATTTCAAGACAGAAAACTTCCAAGAAGTGAAAACAGTATTGGAAAAGTCAATTCTGGACCTAAATCAGCGTCTCCTTAATTTCTTATCCATTCCTATTAGAATTATGTACGGTAAATATGCTTTTAAAAACTGCTCTGAAGTTTAGACTTCAAGATCGATTAAGATTGTGTAATTCGATAACAAATATGGAAATTTGATACACGTATGTTATTGATTATTAATCGTTGATTTTTTCCTCCATGTAAACTTTTAGTGACGATGCTTTCGTACGTTGATCATTTTTTTCGGTAAAATACGGGTGTGTTCTGGCGATAGAATTTTACGATATAAAAATTTGATTTAAATTACTTCTGGAATTTTCTGCAAAATCCATTGACTTGACAGCAAGAAAAAAAACTATGAGCATTAAAAAAAACGCAATGATCAATTCTTTTAATCACAGCAATATTCTCTCCAACTATCTGCGGATTTCGTGCGAACGGTTTCACATTGTTCATTCTATTTGATGCGTGAATAATACAGTTCTCGACTTTTTTTGCAGAGGACAAAGCGCACGCTTCTGGTCCACCGAATTTGACTGTGAAACGAAGCTTCACGGCGAGAAACACTGGGTCGTTGCCGATCCACGTGTACGGATTCACAATCGATGGGTTCGAGTGTGAGGGCTACGGGTTCCGCGTGATGAACTGCAGGCCAGGTTTTGTGTTGCCTCCGAATGGAACCCACAAGGTTGACATCGCTTTCACTCCCGATTTCACTCTGACGCGAGTCCAGCGAAGTCTCTTCATGAGCACCAGTTTGCCTGCCGGCGTGCTCAATTTCTCTTTGGTGGCGACTCTGCCGCCGCAGTCATTGGCACCGTGTTGGGCCGCCCTGCCGCGTCCAGCGTGGGAAGCCATGTTGGGCTATGTAGCGATCGTGGCCATGACGGTCGTGCTCCTCTGTGTTCTGCCTGCTGCCTTTTTCGAGGCGGATCGGATACTCGTGATGGCGTTTGACTTCGGAGACGATTTGGCGTTTTTGATGCCGGTGGATGCGGCGAAAGCTGGGAAGGCGTCGGCGCCGAGTGAAGACGCGCAGAAAAAGATGGTGGCGAAGCCGTTGAACCTCAAGGAAGTTGGGCGTCAAGCAGTGGAAGAATTGGCCGAAAATTCCGTCCGGCGTCGGACCAATGTTTTAAATCGTCCAAGCACACAAAAGGTGAGGAACCGGGAAATCTTCATGATGGAAGCAAATTTCGTTCATTCTAAACTAGCATGAAGCGTCAACATTTTTCAAAATCGTGAACGAAAAGCGAGACAAAGTTTGACGAGGTTTACCTTTTTTTTTGTTCTTGCAGGTTAAAGATGGTGAAATGATCGGCGAGAAAAGGGAGTCGCAGTCGTTGCTTCGCTTGGCATTAAGATTCGTTATGTACTTCTGGAATGATTCGTCGCCCGCGTGGGAGTCGGTCAAGGAAGTGGACAAAACTCCCGAAACTCCCCCTGCAACCGCGTCACACCAGAAGGACGCTGCAGGTTCTCGATCAAATGGCAATGTCCTGAAACAGCAGTCTCAGCCGTCGTCGAACAACAAACGCAAAACTGGGGAGAAAACTCCAGCGGTTGTACCTGTGTGCACAGAAGTCACGAGACATTCGGTCGCGGTTGAAACGGACAGGACTTTGGAGATACCGGTGAAGAGTCAAGGAAAGAAGTCAAAGCGCAAGGGTAGGAATGGAGCTGAACAGAGGAAGAAAGATTGTACGAAGCTGGATGAAGATTCCTCTTCGACTACAACTGACAATAATTCATTACTTGACGATGATTGCGACAGGGTACGTTCCTGATTATTCGTGACACTTTTTTCTGAGGCCGTCGAAATCAAAAAATGCATTTCAAATTTTTTGTTATTTCTCAGATTCTGCTCGAGTCAAAGAAATTTAAATCGAGTCGAAAATGTTTTCTTGTACGTAGACGTGTGATTTATTTTGCAATACGAATTCAATGTGTGCTGTTTTTTTTTTCGGGAACGCAGGATCTTGGCTTGAAAAATGACGCAATGACGAAGGGCAAAAAAGACAAGCGAATCCATCATGTGGCAAGTGAACCGGTGATTTCAGCTGTGCCGGTAACCCGATCAGAAGGAAAACCGAAACAAAAGGTGTAATTACTTGGAAATCACTAGTGATTCTAAAATCTTGACTTTCCCTTTTTGAACACGATTCAGGTGGAACCGTACAAATTTGAAGTCCCGAGTAATTACGAAGCAGAACCCGTCTTCCAGCCTGCGAAAAAGTCGGATCCGAAAGCGAAAGAAAATGAAGCTCCGTATTTCATGTTCAATCAACAGGCAAACTCGAAGACGAAAAAGTCCAACCCCGTGAAAGGTAAATCTTTCTGTTTTCGCGAATGTTAGTTTGTTCTGAAACGCACCCTCGTTCTATTTTTCAAGCAGCTGCGGTGGAGAAATCTAAATCATTCAATGGAACCACAAACAAGCCGTTGTCTATGCAAAGCGAGGAATCTCCGTCGCCGGTCAGCGCTTGGGTCCTTCCCATGGAATCAGATGTGGGTGCGATTAAAAAGTCGAAAAGTGGCTCGTCGTCTTCGACGTCGTCGGACGGATTTGCTGAAATGGCGCGTCAAACGGAGAAGTTCACGCAAGAGCACATGCCTTACCGGCTCAAGGAGAAAAACACGAATGTCTTCTCATCTAACAGCAGGGGTCTTAGTCAAGGCTTTGGAATGCCAGATTCTGGCCTGAGGCAAAAAGCGAAGGTACTTTGTAATCTATGTTTCGTGTTCTAAAATTTCGAAGAAATTTTGAAAGTTTTTTTTTTTTTGGTTTGGTTTGGTAGGATTTAGTGCGATTTCCCGACTTTGATACAAGCCTTGATTGAATAACCTGTTGAGAAAGTCGTTTTTCTTCGGTATGTGCGTGTAAACGGCGAATGGATTCAGAAATCAAACCATAATTGTAAGAGTAGCTTAGCCAATCGTAGCTCAAGTATTTTATTGGGTGTCCAAAAACTTGGTCTGCGATTGAAGTCGTGAGTTTTGTTGTTTTCCAACCTTGGGTGGAACCCTCTCTAAAATGTATCGACGGTAGATACTAATGTGTCGAAAAAGTTGAAAAGAATTCGTCGAAGTATAAAAATTGTTTCCAATTATGATTTTAAAATGTTGCGTCCTCTCGAAAAGTATTCATACGATCACAAATTGGTCGTAACGCAGTAAATGCATGCGAGACCTTATGTTCTTGACGCAACACGTTACCATACGCCTGTTATCGTGGCTTTTCATGCAATAATTATTGTTAAAACCCGTTGATTTTTGTCGAGTTGCATCCATCCTTTCTTCGTTTTGTAGGTGATCCCGTTTCAGAAGAATATGCAGACTCAGAAGCTGTGCGGCAATCCCGTGGAACCCATGCGTCAGTCGAACCCATTTCAACAATCCCGAGCGCGTCCGGACTTGGCAGCGTGTAGCCGACAGAGACAAGCCTTCGACCAGGAACTCGGGTCATTCACGGTACTGACCCGACCGAGCGAAACGACACCGGAACAATTACAAGCCTTGGACATGCTTTTCGGGGCGCGGAGGTCGAAACTGCGCGCAGATGCAAATGACGACGATGACGTATTCCGGGGATTTGGAACTGGACTGGTGGGAGACGACAAGACGATCAAAACGAGCCAGCAGTACGCGGATGCCATGTTTGCCGCACCGCCGCCGCCACCGCCGCAGCCGCCAGCAGCGGCGGCGTCGTCATCACGCATGATGGACATTTTTCGAATGGAAAGCAGTTGTCGCGACACACCATGGCCCGTTTCCCGTGGATTCTTCCCCAACGACAGCGCGACGACGTCTGCGTTCCCATTTGGGCCCTCGCGGGTGTGGGACAACGCGGATCCTCGCGGAGAAGTCCGAGACAGTCTATGGGATCCCCCGTATTGCCGTGGAGGATCAGTTTCGCCGTTTCAGAGTAGCTCCGTGTGGGGCAATTCGGGTCTCGGGCTCGGCGGATCCTCTTGTTGGTCACCGAATGTTTTGAGTGGATGCTCGAGCTCGTCTTTTGGTTAGTTTTTGATAATGATACGAGGGATTGTTCAAAACGTATTGTAATGGTAAAACCAGGCTTCTTCGATTTTTTGAAGAAGTGTCCCTTTGCGTCACCAAATCAGTCAATTTTATTTTTATTCTATTTGATGTTCTATCAAATGGATCCACGTTCACAGTTTCAGTCCTTTTCTTTTAAATACATCTGACAGAACAATGATGAATTGAGCTCCGTTAGGTAGTTCTTGGCATTGTAGCCCTTACATGAGTAACTTACTTCCAACATGTTTAAGGCTAACCTCACATCCGTCTTCACTACCACAAACATTTTTGGAAAGAGGAACAACTTTTCATGTGGTCCGCTGTTTCTGTCCACCAATTTTTAACTTGAACGGAAAGTGATGAGTGAGTTTCATCAAGAGAAAATACAGTATTTTCCACACGTTCACCTTAATAGGAACTTGAAAACAAAAAAAAGTGACTCAGACCTCGTAGTTTTTCTTTTATTAAAAGAAATAAAAAGGATGATGATCTCATGTTTCCTTCCTTCAGAATTTCGAGAATTTCCGGGTGCCATGAGCACCCCACCGCCGAACCCGGTCGGAACTCGGCCGATGGGAGACAACAGCACGCCGGCGTTTGGAAATACCTCTGCAGGCTCTTGCAACAACGTCAGTGATCTCCGTCTTTATTACGCTAAAGAGTGAATTATGTAAATGTGATCAAAAGACTGCTGTTGTTGAAGGATAAGAGGGAACGTAACGTTATACTGTATCATGTTCTCCAAAATTCTAAATGACCAGAAATGGAAATTAGTGGAATAATTTTAGCCAAGGATATGAATTGAATTTTTCACGTTTTCTTGAAACATGAAAAATTCTTCGTTCCTCCTTTTGATGAGGGTCCAATGGATGAAAAGGACTCGAAGGCTGATGGTATTCGGCAATACATGAAATTTTACCGAAAAAAAGCATGAAACCCGGTTTTTTTTAAATTATCAATGTTTTTCATGTTGCCACTTCGGTATTTTCAAAGAAAAACTCAGCAAGATTTCCAAAAATTCCTTTCCTTTTAGTTTTCTGAATGATGAAATGAATGAAGAGGAAATATAAAAATAATTTACGAACTGCAAGAGGTTTAAATATTCCTTACACCTGTACTATACCAATGAGAACTTCATACCTTATAATATGTGCTTCTCTCCCTGACTTTTTCAATGTATTCCGTAGCAACTTCTGGAGTTCTGGGCTCCGTAATTATGTGCCTATTTAGTTGAATGTTATGAAAAATACTTGAAGCACGGATTTTATTTTGCAGGAAGGAAACGTGAACTACGTTGGATTCAATCCCTTGAATTCGGGACCAAGTCTGTGGCAACCAACTCGCCAAGGAAATAATGAACAAAGTGACTAAGAGACTCAAGACTGCTTCGTGGAAGAGGAAGAAAAATCTTCTTTGCTTTTTTTTTGTTCTGCGATTTAAATCTCAAAATTTCGTAGGAAAGACGTTGAAAATTTCGATCGGAGTCGATTTTTCCTTCCTTCATTTTTACTTTTTCGCTTGCGATTTTGGTTCTTGAGCCAACGAAAGGTAGAGGTATCTCAATTTTTTGGAAAAGCAGAATCCCGTTTTCCGCGTCGTTTTTGTTGAAGTTTTTGACCAGGACCGAGCAGGAAATTTCTCGGATGAATATTTCGCGGACAAGTCAGTCGTCAATAACGAAAAAAAGGGAATGTGACGCTGTAGTTGAATTGAAAGTAGTTTTCTCTCCGGACGCAACGTTGAAATCCCGACGATGGATTCAGAGACCTTCGCTACAGATGTTCGGTTTGGTTTTGAACAACGCTCGAAGTGATCTGACTACGTTCTGCTTCGGAAATGCATCAACTTCTGCCCGTTTGACGAGTGACCCTTTTCCGCTAAAAGACAAAAATCTTGTCTAAAGTTCGATCCTTGTGAAGTTGCTGCTCGTTGCCGTGTGTGCAGGGAAATTGTCGGTGTTGATCTCGTTGATTGTGATGCATATGTCCGTGTTCACCGTCTGGAATGCTGCCTGTTTGTGGATAAGAGCGACGTACAAATGGTTCCTGCGGAAATTCACGCGTCTTTGTGAGCTGCAAAGAATCTGCTACGGCGTCCCTGCTGGCGCCCCTCGGATCCTCGGCGTCGGTAAATGACCTATTTTCAGTCACTGAGAGAGATCACATTTAGGGATCGTTGAGAAAGAATTTTGAATTTTAAAAATGTTTTCATCTCTCTACAACCATGTCCTCTGAGAAATCACCGACAGTTGTTGCTTGAACCAGTTGAACATTTATCGCAGTGATTCCCAACATTCCACTCGCGGGCCAGATTTGGCCCTCAGAGACTCCTCATCAGTCCCCAAGTCTTTTTGTATAAATTTCCAGGTGGCAGCCACCAAGATTCAAAATACTGTATTTACCATATTGAAGGATGAATTAAAAATATCAACATTTTGCTCCATGCTTTGAAAAATGTTAAGCTATGCTTGTGATTCAATGCATATAGCATTTAATTAAATTGGAAACATTTCGTTCGAGAGGGGAAACTTCGGAACCTCGGAATCTCAGAAAGTATTGTCTATTGTGGCCCACAGTAACTCTGCACCTCTAAAACGTGGCTATTGGACACGAATAAATGTATTAAGATGGTCCTTGGCCGCATCTGAGTTGGGCAGCCATGCCTTATCCCAACCTCGATATTTTCAAATGCTAGTCAATTTTACCGTGCTGCATCTAACACAAAATAGATTCTAAGCAAAGCAAGGCACAACTTGGCGACACCTGGCATCGATATTTAGAATTCCGTGACATCGTGCTTAGATGAAAAATCGTTTCGGAAGCTCTGTTGATGCGTTTTTTTAAATGAAAAGTGACGTGTATTAACAGAGAACAGTTTGGCGAGATCCAGAACGAGCATTCTGCTGCAGTTAGTGTCATTCTTGGACGGACTTGCAGCCGAGAATAAATTTGGTGGGGAACAGTTGCCTCAGGTAGTGGAGTCTACCTGTCTCGCTGTGGCTTCCGTGAAACGAATCAACCTGCGGTCACACGTGAAGTAAATTTGTGTCTCCGAAAGTCGGGTGTTAAAATATTTATTGATGGGTTACCATTTTTGTTGTCAGGTTTCGTAAGACGTTTTCCCGGTGCGTCGAATCAATTTGGAGTTTTCGTCAACTGGCCCATGAAGTGGAGTGGTTGCGGAAAACGCGGTTCGACTGTGACAACCCAGTGCACGAGCACAAACTGCGACTGCTCTGGAACGAGCTTGTTCCAGAAGAACCCCTGGAATCACGAGTGACGAAGCAGTGGGGTTACATTGGGTTTCAGGGTGACGATCCGGCGACTGATTTTCGCGGCATGGGCATGCTTGGTCTCGAGAATCTCCTGTTAGTTGCCGTGATTTGAAAAGATCAATCATTGACCCAATACAATTCGATTTATGTTCCTCAACGTTCATGGCAGCATAATTACCTTCGCTATTTAGTAGGTGTCGCCTGAATCTTCCTATATTGTAGTTATATACGTATTTTTTTTATCTACATTCGGTTGATGTAGATTAGGTTGCAAGACTCCAGTTTGTTTTAAGTTCGGTTGAGTTTTGTATGGTGGGATCACGCTTAGCCGAGTCAAGGATTCGCTGCAACTGAGTTGAGACTTGGAACTGGTTAAATTCAGTAGGTTTCACCGTATAATGAAAGATTTGCGACCCCTAGCGACATCTACCCCTGCTAATATTATTATTCCTTGTTATGGACAAAGGAGAGGACTTCCTCAGGTGGGTTACGAACGCAGGTGAACTCTTTTTGCAACAAAACAGAGTACCAGAATAAATAGTGGTAGAAAACTCTATACGATTTGAAAAAAAGTATGTATTCGTTACAGGGGAAAATTGTTGTCAGATTATACAGTACCTGTATCTTAAAGCACAGGGAGTTCTTGGAAGTGACCTAACTCAAGAATTGACGGCCGCCAAAGTTTATTCGCACTGTAATTTTTGTATGCTTTTTTTTAAAGGTACTTCGCCAAGTTCAAAGACGGCACCGGTCGTCGGGTCTTGTGTCGGAGTCAGCACCCCAAATACGGGTACTCTTTCGCAATCGTGGGCATCAACTTGACGGACATGGCGTTGGGTTTCGTTCGAAGCGGAGACGCCCGCACACACTTCTACAACACCGTGAGGCACCACAACAGGCCCTTCTTCACGATTCGTGATTTCCACGTGTTTTACTCGATCCTGTTCGAGTCGTTCGATCGGCTGTGGCATATGGAAAACCCCAAAGATATAATGGAATTCGGGAGAATAGCTGAAAAGTTTGCCAAGTTGGTTAAGCAGCAATTGACTCTAACGGATGCGTTATTAACGCCAGATTTTTTATCTGTGAAGACATGACGAAAGTAAAAAGGTCTGAACTTTTCTGTCGCTCAGCAGCTTTGATATTCAGCATTCCCATTCAGACACGCGGCTTGAATTTTTTTTTTACTTGTTGCACGATTTTGTGGCATTGGAAAAATCTCAGGTTTATTTGGATCATTACTTTTCTGCGTTTCATTTACCCTTCCGCGAATTGGCTGAAAATTTCTTAATATTGTTCAGATAGAAAGTTTCGATGTACGGCATCATATCGGTGAAATTATGAAACAAATGAAATTATGTCGTTTTCCAATGAAGAACAATTCCAATCCAAATTTTGAGGATCTCTGAAGTAAAAACTGAGGCAAATGGATTTGTTCCCTCGATTTTTCTGATGCTACCCGTATGTAATGAGATGTCTTTTCTGATTGATTGTATCTTAATATCACTGGTTTGAAATTGGATGCGTATTTTTACAAATAGGCCTCTTGCCTGAAGTTAAGATGCGATGGGTTGATTTTGGGATCTCTGAGAAACGCCTCATGGGCTATTTTTCTGCTGTAAACGACTAATCACAGAGGTTTATGGCTGGACCAGAACAGAAGCTGGATGACTTATTCGCACAAGTGATCAACGTGTGTGGATGTTCGGCAGATAATTTTCCATGTTCCTCAGTGAACTATGGTTAAAATGAAACTCATGGAAGCGTGAAGGATGATATTTTTTTTGGAAATTATATTTTATCATGCTTTTGGAGGAGTCAGGCAAAGTCATGAGCGATCAAATTCACAATAATTCAAGGAGAGTACATCTCACATGCGTGAGGGAAGGGGATCTCGTTGATGAAGTGGGGTTGTTGGTCCAAGAATTCCCTGAGAACGCTGAAACGTGCGGCTGCGAGAAGCTTCTCGTTCACGTCGGAGTTCATGATGCAACGGAATCCGATCTGCAAGAACCGAGGGAAGGAAAATAAGGTTAGTTGGGTTCCTTTTTTTTTAGCTGTTTGTTGCCGTTGTCGAAGAGAACTGACCTTCTTGCTGATGACCTTGTTTGGCCTGCAGCTCAGGTTGCACTCGGGCACGGGCTTGACGGAGAAGCAAGTCTGGTCCCCGCGGACGATGACCTTGGTGATGTGCCTCACGCAGGGGCTGGACTGGTCCATGCCTAAGCCTGCTGCTGAATCAATGACTTTTCGCACGCGTCTCCATTCCTTGCCGGAGCTGAAGGCATCTTCCATGAGCTCGGACGCCCACTTGGACTCCCTGTGGGGGTTGAAGGTCTCGCCCTCGGGCCAGTAGTCTTCACTGTTGCATGACTGCATGTGGCGGGAAGCCAAGGCGGTGATGTCGTGCTCGGAGATCTGCTCGTATTCGCTGTTCTTCCAGTGCTTCCAGTTCTTGAGGTACTCAACGGGCTTGAGTTGTGGCAGGGAGGAGCAGCCTTCAGAGTGCACGGCGTAGCTGCGGCCGAAGCTGATGGGGCTCAAGTGCACGCAGCCCCGTGGGCCCTTGAGTTCGGCGTCCTTTTCGCCGTTGTAGTCGCCGCAGAGACCGCACATCCTGCCTCTGAGCATGGCGGAAGCCTGCAGCACATTCGTATCACGAAAAAGGAACCGTTTTGTCAGTCAACCATCATCATGAAAACGAAAAAAAGCGTACGCCTTGTTAAGATGTATATAGAGGCAGATTGAGAGATGGTAGACATGTATGATAGGTAAAAATTTCATGCCCAACCTCTCCAGCATGGATGATGTTTTTAATCTATTGGTGTCAAGAAACTCACTGTGCTGAGGGAAAAACTGGCGCTATTTTGTGGAAGATTTGAACCACTTTGCCATTTCAATTGGTTGTGAAAATCTGGACTTGAAATTGAAAGCTTGGGATGAGTATCTGAGAGGAATAGCCGCATGAATGACCTAAAGAGCAAGTGACAACTTAACAAGCACTGATTTCACATTATGTCTCTGAATGACCTGTTTTGACTGAATTGTGATGGGAATCAAAAAATACCCTAAGCTGTATAAATTCTCACCAACAGGGACATGCTGAAAACAAGCAGAAGAGCATTTGCACATGGGTGGTGGATATTTGGAGGATTATAAAGAGCAGGAAATTGGTTATGAATAAGTTCTGTAATTCAATAAGACTCTTTATTCACCTATTCTATTGTTGCAAATACTAGGAACCCAGAAGCAGCAGATGGACCTTAAAATGAATTTAATTTGCCACTGTGAATTCTAGTGACATCTACCCACAAAAGAGCAGTTTGTCCAAGTAGTGGACATGTTGGGGGAAATGGAAGCGTATTTTATATGATGCAAAACACGTTGTTTCGCAGTAAAGTAGTGAATGTCTGATACTTGTGAGCAGAATTTTAAAAGGTCTCAAATATGTCAGCAGAAGTTTCGACTCCATTTTGCAAAACGTCTGACAGTTATTAGCAGGAGTTTTGACTGTGTTCTGCAAAATACAATAAAGCTTTGCTTTTTGAGAAAATGCTGTGAAAATACGGGATAATACACACCTGGACACGGATGTTGTGGCCATCAGAGGTGACCTGAAGTCCTCTGGATGGGCATTCAACGCTGACTTCTCCATCACTTCTCTTGTTGATACGGATGACAACCTGTCCTTGTTCCTTGATCTCATGTGGAGCATTTTCGGGCATTGGTGTGAGTTCGTTTCCGTTGATCTTGACAATCAGATTTGGCCTGGTTGGACTGGAGCTACGGGTTGGTACCAAGACAACTTCCTTGTCCCCAACGATCAGCTTGACAACCTTAGTCAGTTCTGGGCCCTGCTTGGCGAGTACTGCAATGCCGGATGGCCTGGAGCAGTCCTTGGCAATCAAGTGGTAGCAGTCTGGCAATGAGTAGGGGATGGTGACGTTGTCGAAGGTCTGGATGGAGTCGTGTCCAACGCGGCACATTGCTGTAATGAACGCAAAACAATCCATAAAAAAAGTTGAAAAAGATGCTGTTGGACATTTACACCATGCCAGTCCTCTGATGCCTTGAAAATAGTTCATGTTTTTGAATTCAAGTTTTACATCCTTTAGATAGTGTCTCTTGTTTGAACTTACGGGTGAACTTGTAGCCGAGGACTTCATTGAGAGCCTTGGTGATCCATGGAGTCTTGGCATTGAGTGGGAACATCGCCTCGACGGCCCATGGCAACTTGATGGTTTTGAAGAAGGCATTCTCGTGGGGCTTCTTGGTGAGGAGGTCGACAACAGTGTATGGATGGTCTGGGTTCGGAGTGGCAACATTGATGATGGCGCGAATAGAGCCCTCTGGGTTCTTGTGTCTGGCTGTTGGGTCCACAGTCATGTATGGGTACAGAGACCACTTCAGGTAGTTGTCCATTGCCCAGGTCATGTTCCACAATCCTCTTGGAAGCTGTTGGAAACAAAACAAAAAATCATTATTATCACTCTCTGGTCTTGTATTTTCGGATTCGAATAATCTCTTGTGCATAAATGTATACAGTCGAATCTCTCTAAGATTAATTTGTAGGGATGACCAGCAAGAAAATCCGACTTGACGAGGTTTAGAGTTATAGAGGTTTGTGTTACGGAACCAAGCATTTTTTCTGTGTGGGAAACCTAGAAGAATTGCAAGAAATTGTGAATGGTGATATTCTGGGCCTTCAATTTCTTCTAAAATGAATTCACAGGATGCTGAACTTGGCAGCAGTGGTTCATTTGCCCAATTCAATCTTTCACTTCCTTTCAGAACACATCAAAATTTTGTTTTTTATGGCTTTTCTCTTTCCTGTGTCAAGTGAATAATAGCAAAAAGACCCCAGAAAATTCGACTTATGGAGGTCTGAGATGAAAAAAACCTTTGAGTTTGGTAGGTTGGAGGTTCGAGTTCAGCTGTACTTACATTCTCTCCCTCAACATCGACGATGTACTTGTTGAGAGTGGTGGCCTGTTGGCGAGCACGCATGCAAGATGAGGAGTACATCAGTCCCTTGGCTTCATCTGAGTCACAACGCTTGGCAGCTTGAGATTCCTCAGCCAGGTAACGTTGTTTGCCGGTACGGGCCATGATCACCTACAATGCAAGTGGGACACGGCAGAATTTAAAAAGCGATCATTTCAAAAGAAAGGAATTCAGAATCTTAACCCAAGGCTACTTTTGAAAAATGAATCAATTACCTTGGCCTTGATGGCGTGTTCGGTGTTCCTGCCGAAGCGGACGGTCAGGCATCCCAAGGAGGTCATGTCAGACTTGACGAGAGCCTCACGATGGGGTGTGTTGGGCAATTGTGGGTATTGGATCATTCCGTTGACGAATGCCTTTTACAAGGTTAAAAAAGAACGCGAAATCAGGAATGAATAACTGATATTTCTTATTTTTCCTTTCATTGTACAGTACCTTCCAGGATTTGTCTTGCATACCGCCTTCCTTCTCGATGTGAGCGGAGATTTTCCTGAAGGTGTCGTCGGAGTTGGATGAAGCCAGGACTGATGCACGAATGTAACGTGGCACAGGTCCCTCCATCTTGATCTCACCATGAACCATAGTGACTTTGCTGCCTGGATTTTTTTCATTGCGCAAAAAAAATAAAAAAACGCTATGAAACACGGTGATACTTTTATGCCAGAAAGAAAGGGGGCCCTGACCTGACTTGACATTAACTTCCAGACTTTTCTCTCCGCTGTAGTCTTCGGCATACCGCTCGGTGGCGAAGCGCTTCCTGACCCATTCACCAGAGCTGCCAATCATTGGGGTGTACTGCAGTTCCTCAGACTCCTCCCAGTACTTGGATGGGTTCCTGAAGAAGCTGATGAGGTCTTCTTGGGTCCTGCTCCAGTGCTCGGATTTGCCGCTGTAGTATTTGGACTCGGAAGAGGACTCTTCATCCAAGCTCCACACTGGGCTGCTGCTCTCAGAAGTGCCTTTGTTACGAAATGAAAATTTATGAAAAACCTGCATATGCAAAATTTGAGGGATTGCGTACTGATGGTGATCTTTCCTTCGATCTTCTTGGTCTGGCATCTGCTGGTGTCGACAGTGACGCGGGTTTGGAAGTTGCGCAGGGATCTTGGGGAGGTGCTGAACAACAGTGCGGACACGAGGTTCTGCCTCTTGAGCCTCCAGTAGCTGCCGAGCATGTCGCTGAATGGATGATCGACCTTGCTGAGGATTCTGATGGGGATTCCGAGCATTTCTTCGCCAATAATGGTGACGTTCTGCGTGATAACCATCAGCAAACGAAATTAATTCTAAATCGCCAATATTGGCTTTTTTTTTTTCGGATAACTTGCCTTGTGTGGCTCATCCAGAACACGCATCCATCTGACACTGGACACCTTGTTGATTGGGCTGAAGTCCTCCAAGTTCTTGACGCAAGTGAATGGTCTTTGATGAGAGTGGGCGAGAGAGATGACGCCTGGGAGTGGACCACTGCTTGGCTCAATCTGATTGATCGAATAGGGGAAAATGATTCCGTCAACACATTTTGTTGCTTCAATTTGAGATTCTGTACCTCGAACTTCAGTTGCTTCTCTGGAACATTGATCTTCAAAGTGGCCTTGAAGGGCAAGCTGGCGAGGTTGTGAGTGTTGACACCAGCGATGTAGTTCTTGTCGGTGATTGGGCAAACAATACCCATTTCCAAGAGGGTGTTTTGGCTGATACTGAATAACCACGTGAAAAAAAGTGTTTAGGTAGGGATGACTTGGTATCTTTTAGTGTGTGCATGATGACTGCAGATATACTTACACTGGCCTGAGGTCAATCTTGATCTTTCCTGCTTCTGGCAAGCGTTTTTGAGACAGGTTTGGCAGATCGGCTTCAACTTCAATGTGACCACGAATGGAAACGAGCACTGGGGTCTTCTTGGAGAAGTACATTGGGATACCGGAGGCAGTTGGCAACACAACAGTCATACTTTCTGGGTTGATAGCCCGTTGGTAGTTGATGTTCCACTTGACACCGACACCGGAGGAAGTGAAGTGAGGCTTGACTATTTTCGGAAAGACAAAAAGAAACAACATTCATGGATAACCATCCGACAGTTTTTTTTTTTCAGCAAGAAAATGCTCACCGTCATTCACCAGTTCCCACAAAGTGCGGTAGTTGGCAGTGACAACACGTTCCATGCCGCCGAATGCCTTGACCCAAGCCATGACACTCATTGGGTCATCCTTCCTCAGCTTCAGGTTCAATTCGCGAGAAATGGCGCTCAGTGGCTCTTCGCCACTATGTAGACATGAAAACGAAGAGAGGCGTGAGAATATGCATATTTTTTGACGCTTCAAATCAATGATTTATACCGATTCCATGCTCCAGAGACGCGATCCATCAGAGAGAACAATTCGTCCGAGCTGCTCACTGGGCTGAGGACCCTTGTGATCTTGTTGACAATCTCTTGAACTCCTTGAGCGTAGAATCCAGTCTATCGAGCATGTAAAAAATAGACAAAAATTAATCATGAAATCCTGATAATCGGTGGATGATGATGAAATTCACCTGAAGCATGTCCCAGTTGAAGCCACCTGCCCTCTTGATGAGCCTGGTGTACCAGAGCCTTGGGATGAAGGACTTGGTGGAGCCGAAGATAACGTTTTGAAGGAAGGAACCCATGCTCTTCTCGGGGACAAAGTTCGACAAGATGATCTTCCTGGAGTACTGGGCTCCGAGCTCGTATTTCTTGCACAAGGGCAAAGCCATCTCAGCCATGCGAGATGCATTCCTGCGTAATCAAGAAGAAAGATGCATTAGTATTTTGTCATTCTGAAAATTAGTGTGCAGTGAAAAATATTTGTTAATGCATAATTTGTTATTACACGATTTTGAAAATTAATGACTGGAAAACATTTCTACATCAGACATGCCTTGATTTTGCTTTGCTGGCATTTTCAGGTTTTTTTATCATTGATGGAAAACTGAGTAATCTTCTGAAAAAAAAATTAGCTTCAATCATGCATTCTATCAGTTGAACCAATTTCATAGTGGAAGGATGATCTGTGGAACCAATTGGAAGATTGTTTGTCATTGATATTACAGCTTCCAATTATGCTACAAGAACCCGTCTTGTTTGGATTGGAAATTTCAGACTGTGCCTGTCATATTCAGGAAATTTCTACGTGGAGAATCTATTGAACATGGCTCAAAACATTTGTTACAAGGATTTTTGCTCTGAAGAGACTGGTTTTACATGTACTCTATGGGCTTTTCCAATGGGACTTGAGAAAAAGTTTGTTATGTTGAAAGTTGTATTGGAACAGCATTTGTTACAATTAGACTTCACTATATCTATACAGTATATACTCACTGGTAGACTGGGACAGTGTTGTTGGCAAGGGCAGCCAAGGTGGTGTAGACAAAGGATCCAACCTGTTGGCTGGGCTCAAACCAAGTGTCAGTGGCCACAGCAGTGAAGAACACTGGGGATGGCTCACACTTGAGCAAGACTTGGAAGGCGGCCATACGGACAGCATAGTGCATCTTCTGGTTGGCATAGATGGGCCTGAGGAGCTTGTAGACCTTGGATGGGGCAACCCTGGCAGCCCTGCTCAAAGCATTCACTGCCTTGGTGCGCACTTGGGTGTCCTTGCAGATCTGGCCAGTGATGCAGGCCTCAAGCACTGGGATGATGCCTGGGTGTCCTGTGTTGCCAAGGGCATGGATGATGACCATCTGTGGAAAGTCACACACGAAAGAGTGTTTTGGTCTTGCAGCAGAGGTTATTATATTATAGTGTCATCATCAATAAGTGAATAATAACCTTCTTCCACAGGCGATCTTCACTCTGTTCCAATGAGTGGCGGAGCATTGGGATGATTTCGTTCACAATGACAGCCTCATTCTTGGAGCACAAAGGTGCACCACGGGGTTCCTTGGGGTAGTTGAACTTCTTGGTCCTTGGGCTGACGCAACCAAAGTTGACCATGTTGGAGATGGACAAAACTGAGGTGATCCAGACTTGGTGGGTTCCTTGGGAAGCTGCGCTGACTTCTGGTGATTGAGCAAGTTCCTACGATGATGTTCAATGCATTCAGAAACTGTATATGCATGAAGCAAAATTTTAAAATAAGAGTGATACATACAACCATCTCTGCGAGCAGTTCAGGAGTGATGGCCTTGACGGAGATTGGGATGGTTGACAGGGCCTGGGCAGCGGTTTCACCCTTGACTTCTCCCTTCTTGATGAGGTCGATGACGAACATGATGGCTGGGTGAGTGCCAGACATGACGAGGGCATCCAAGCACAAAGTCCTGCACACAAGAAATATAAGTCATTAAGACTTGTCACCTAGATGAGGCTATAGAAAAACTTGACTACCCACTTCTTGGTTCTGGCGTTGACTGGAGAAGTGCTGGAGCTGACGATCTTCTCATAAACTTCAGCGATTTCGCCATAGGAAAGAATGCTGAAAGCACGGGCGCACTGAAGGATCTTCAGAGCTGATTCCTTCTCAGCCAAGTCTTCGAAGTTGCTGATCTCAGAGACAACTTCACGCAAGAGCTCAATGATCTTCAAAGCAATGGAAGAGAAGAATTGTAACACAATGTCATGCAATGACCTGTGACGAATTCATTACCCTGAGAAATCATGAAGGACCCAGGCAGAACTGATTGCATGAATTGAAAAAGTTACCCCAATCTAAAATTTGTTGTTCAGTACAGTAAAATTTTGTTACAACAAATTTTTCAGTTCACCAAACTGTTCTTAATTTTTGACAGAAAGCCCAATGTGTGTGTTTTAAAACAATCTTATAACAAACTTCCCAATTCCACTATAATAATATTTGATTAATTCATCTCTAGGTAGAAATGTCCTAACTAATGCACAGTCCAAAATTTCTGATTCAAAATGTGACTACTGGTTAATTCTTATAGCATGGATAAAAGCTGTAATCAATGACAAACATGCTTCCAAGTGGTTCCACTCATAATCCTCCCAGAATGTAGATATTTGTGCAGTTGATGTAATGTATGATATTGAAGATATTTTTTTCAGATCTCTCAGTTTTTCCAAAAATTATGAAAAAATCTGACAATGCCAGGAAAGCAAGATCTAATTGATTATAGGCAGGAGTGATGTGCAAATGTTTTCCAGTTGTCAGTTTTGTGGATCTTATTATAACAAATTATTTGGTATAAGAAACTTTTTCTGAAAGTCCCCAGAACTTTGTTGTAACAAGATGTTAGTGTAGCAATATTTTATCCACTGTCAATGTGTACAGTACAACATATATTACTGTACTTGGAAATATTGTTTGAAGTGTCATTCTCATACCTGTCCCTTGACAGCAGAAGAACGGATGATCTTGGAGGAAGTTTGGGGGCACATCCAGGCAGAAGGCACCTTGAGCGTGGGGTAGTACATCCTGAGGTCCCTGCTGTAGGCAGACTTCATGACTTGAGTTTCAAAGTACCTTTCTCCCTGATGGGGACCACGTGGGCTGTATTGATTGTCCCAGTTCCTCATCTCATCTTGGGACTCCTCAGAGCTAGATGATGAACCGACATCCCTATAAATGAATCAGGAAAACAATGTTTCAAATTTTATTTTTGAACGAAAGGCTCTATATTGTCACAGGGACAGTTTATGCAGCCCAAAATTATGGCTACCATCAAGCACTCCTTCATCAGCTCGGGTGTTTTTTTTTTCCATCGTCACTTGCCTCTTCATGAGCCTCTTGCTCCCGTAGCCGGAACCCTGTCTCTCTTCGTCTTCTTCAGATGATTGGCCAACCCTGCTGCCGTACTTCATGTGGCTCCTTTCGTAGCTGTTCATGGGCCTCCTCTGTTGCCAATCGGCTTCTCGGGACCCGTATTGGCCGGGTTCGCTGAATGATGGGCGACTGTGTTCCCTGCGTTCGTAGTTGATTTTGGAGTATTTCCTCTCGGCAACCTTGTCCTTGTTGGCACGGATGGTCTGTTCTCTGGGGAGACGCAACCCGGCGAAGGCGGGGTCCTCGTTGAGGCGTGGGTTCTCGCGGGTTTCCTGGTCGACGACGGGGAACTCGAACCTCAGGTGGGTGCTGGTCAGCTTCTCGTGCCTCAATTCGATGCGGGAGGTGATTGGGCGCTCGGACAACAGGGTCAGAGTTTGGCTGAAAATCAATTCCACTCGTATATGTAATGTAGTCAGTCAAAAAGGCTAAATAAAACTTAAATTTCAACCTTAATACATGCCCCTCGATCTTTTCACATAAGCTCTAAAGAAATACAGTACTAAAGGGAAAGCTTAATTGAGGTTGAAATAAAGAATCGAGGCCAACAAGAATTTGACTGTATTATTGGGGCCAGCAAAAAATTCGACTTGAGGTTTCAAATTAGAGAGTTTTTGAGTTTGGGAAACAAGCATTTTTGTTATGGGAGACGCAGAATTGCAGGAAGCTGTGAATGGTGATATTCTACGGGGCCTCAAATTGTTTCTTGAATGAGTTGACAATAAGACGCTGAACTATTGTAGGCAGGGGTTCATTTGCCCAATTAGTCTTCCATTTCCTTTTGAAATTCATCAAGTTACTTATTATATTGCTTTTCTGCTCTTTCCTGTGTCACAAGAATATTAGCCAAAACGCCTCTGAAAATTCGAGTTATGAGATATGCCTTCAACAAGTTAGGGAGGTTTTTAATACATTGTTTTAAAGATAATTCCGACAGGGACTTGCAAAAAATTAGACTTGGCAGAGGTTCGAGTTATTCACGAGGTTCAAAAGTAGTTATTGGTATTTAAGTTTGGTGCAAAAATAATCAGGGGAAAATGTTTGTTCAATTTTCGAGCTTGCACACAAATTAAGGGCGCTTATTGCTTATTAATAAGTCGGGTTAGATCCAGTTGGGCCATTAACAAAAAAAACTATTCGTTCAATCATATAGCACGTTTTTCGCTCGCTTTAAAGGTTTTCGCGCATGAAATCTCCCCAATAACGTAGATTGATCTGATTTCATATGCGTTATTATAGTGCACCATGCTGGGAAAAGTTTAACTTGTTTTTTAAGCATTTCCATCAATAATTTTGTGAAAAGTGAAACTCACTTGGAAACAGTCCACATCCTTTCGGTCTTGATTCCGAGGGGCTTGACGGTGAACTCACTCTCGCCCCAGGACTTCTCCATGCGAAGGTGGTTTCCGCTTGGGGACCTCCTGAGCAAGAATCTGGTGATGGATGTCCTCTGAAACATACAACGCAACATTCAATATAAATATCCTAAATACAGTAATGAGAGAGACACGTGCTTAGCAGCAGCACTCACGGTAGAGAACTTGTGGCACATGGCGTTGGCTGGGTTGCATGGCTCATTGGTGATGTCCTTCATGTTCATGTGGACCCAAGATGGACGGCGTTCGCATTCGTCAAAGTCGCGGATCTTGGTGACGAGCCAGGGACGGGCTTCTGGTTCACTGGCAGCCTCCAGGAGGATGTGACGAGGCAAGTCCCATTCCTCGCTGACGGCGACGTAGTTTTCGATGGGGGCAACGACGTAGGCGGTCTTGCACTTGCCTCCCATGGAGTCCTGGGCATATACAGGATAGGAAATATCACAGAGCCATGTCAGCTGTGGTTCTGGATTTTAGTATATCTATCACGAAAGCGCTCAAAATACAGTGGTAGAACCTCTATAAATGCAGGGAGGAACAAGAATAATAACAGGAAATTGTAATTGGGAACATAATTATGTAGCATGAATTGCTTCATAAATGATTTGACAAGATCCTAAAAGTGTATAGGCAAGGTTTCATCTGCCCAATTGGTCTCTCCCTTCCTTTCAAAAGGTATCAAGTTACATTTTTATTGCTTTCTCTTTTGTGATTCCCAAAATCATAGCAATAGGGACTACAGAAAATTTGACTTTTGGAGGCTTTTTAAGGCATTGTTTCCAAGGGAATGCAGACAGGGACTTTGACGTGGGTAGATTCAAGTTATGCAGGTTCAACTTTAGTGTACAGGTGTTACCTTTCAATTTGACCATAATCTGTTGCCAAACTAGGGTTGAATTGCCAAGCAGTCAAATTTCAAGACACTGTGAAATTCAAAATATCAGTTAACAAAGTGCAATAAATTTGCCAAATTGCAGGGAAAGGGTTAACTTGCAAATCAACCTCCCTGCAAATTCGATCATTGAATTGCAGGAGGTCAAATTGCAAGGTATCACCTGCATCACAAAATATTTTAGGAGACAAATTAATTTTTTAGGGAGAACTCTGATGCTGCTTGGGAAATAAAGTTGTTCATCTTGAATATTATTTGTGGGAATTCCTGTACTGTATAGCAATGTTATTTGAGGATTATCATCATTTATTTTTTGGTCAGGGTCAGAGAGTTATGATTATCGCAGGCGTCCTTCACCTGAATTCATGGCTAAGATTGGAATTATTTTGTAAAAACAAACAAACAAACAAGTAAATGAATGATTTAATAATGAGCAGTATGCATAAGTGAGTATAACTCATCACGAACCTCTTCAACGGCAAAGAAGGTGCGTTCAGCAGAGGGAATGTTCATGTGCCTGAAGGACTTGTCTTCCCAGCGCTTGGTGTTGGTCAGTTGGAAGGGGATCTTGTTGGTCTGCTTCAAGTTGATGTTGATCTGGCTGGCGAAACCCTTCTTGATGTTGACGCACCAGGTGGGCTCGTGTTCCTCCACTTCCAGGCTGGTGACGAGTCCGTTCCTCAGCTTCACCTTGAAGGCCTCGGAAAGCAGGTTCTCAACCTCACCCTGGACCGGGGACCAGTCCATGGGGGCCTTGGCCCTGTACACCAGGGGTCTGGCCTGGGGCACCTCATGGTTGATCTTTCCAGACTCCCACTTGGTCAGCTGTGTTTTTTATTTTTTGGAAGAAAAGGCAAGGGTTGACTCATATATCAGCAGCTGATGGAGACCAAGAAATGAGTAGTTATGCTGAAAATATTTTTGTTTTGATGATATTTAAATTTTTTTCCACATCTGTGCAATATTTTACTACAGGACACTGCGCTTGTAGTCCAAATGTTAAACTTCATCTGGAGTGAGGAATTTAAAGGTGAACTTTCACTTCAATGAAAATATAATAAAATTGGCTTTTAAGGTCTCAATTCTTGAGAAATGGCACTTTTAAGAATGTGGGGACATCTTAAAAATTTAGCTCGTATAGATTGTTCTTTTTTCAAACAATTACTGTGTGTATCAAAGGACCTTCAACACAGTGTGCATGTGAGGCTTGGAACCCCAAGCTGGTCTAACATGTAAAGTTCAAAAGTTTCATTGGTGCTGTTTAAGAAATTATTTTTTAAAATGCATGTATCTTGGGAGTGAAAATGTCCCCAGTAAAGAGATTAAATACAAGTGCAGTACCAGCATTTACTTGTTTATGGAAAATAAAAAAGGTTTCTGACTTCATATTTTCATCTTTGATTTTTCATATGACACATATTTAAAGATTTTTTATCCTCCCTATACTGTACTTGGATCTCTGGGATGGATATTTTTACTGATCTGAACTGTGAAATATACACTTAGTCGATCTTACACTGTCCCACGTCATTAATGAATCATCATTAATGATGATTCATGTTCCACATCATTACTGTATATGCATGGAACTGCGATAAGCAGGATAAAACCAGCAGCGCGCCTGTTTGCATGATTTCAATTAGTAATAATTGGCATAGGACATCCTGGAGTTCTCCGCGTATCTCAAATTGTACTGCTACTTACGATGTATATTTAAATAAAATCTTACTTTAACCAAAATGGTGTCAGGGGAGACAACTTGGAGGCGAGCAATGCACTTGAGACCGAATCCAGTGAGCTGTTCCTTAATCATGGGCATTCCAGCGATAACTCTGGTGTGGTAGTCGTAAATGAATTCCTTTCCCGCGGGCCATACTGACAAATTTCAAAAAATAATAATCGGTGATTAATTTTCGTTGGTATCCTTCCAAACACCACTCATTACTAAGCTTCCAAAGTCTCACCTTCAGTTGTGCTGAGGCCACTGGCAACTGAAAAATAGGAAATAGAAAGGAAGGAAATCATATTAAAGGCACAGCACATCATAGGTCATCAATCAAGCGGCAGGAAGTTTAATTTGTCATGCTTCAAATATAACAGATACATTAATTTTCCATACAGTACAGACACCATCAAGAAAAACTGTGGATTAACGAACTCTTTCTTTAATTTAAACAGAAATCAGTTTATATAAGAAAAATCACGGCATACAATGGACTTATTGTTATTTTTCGGGGGGGGGGGGGGGGGGGGGGGGGGGGGGGTGTGGTTGGGGGGGGGGGGGGGGGGGGGGGGTGGGGGGGGAGGGGGTGTGCTGCTGCTAATAATAGTACTGTAATAATAATAAAAACTTTAGCTGATGACGATTTAATCGAGATGATTGATAGGATCTTTATGCTGATAAATGTTTTGCATATTTGCTGCAAAAATGAGAATAAGAGCTTGTGTGTATTGTTTTGTTTTCGAACGTTATGCATGATGATGTATTTGATTGATTGGCATAAATAATGCGTGGTGTAAATAATATTGAACTCACGGACAACGCAAGCAGCGAGAACTGCCAAAACCCTCATGATTATAGAAATTGCCGCAGCTCCGAGTTGCGGACACAACTGTTAGCTGCAAGCAGTATCCACTGAGACACTGTTGAGCCGATTTGCGTCGCGAGCTTTTATAACGGAGCCAGGGATTCGCACCCGACTCTTTTTTCGGGCCCTGTATACAACAGATGCACGCCCTGCCCGGGTTTCCCCTTATTCGCCCATACAGCGGGCCCTTTGAGGATAGCTTCAGAGTCAGCAAAAAATGGTCCCTCTCTTGCGGAGAATTGGCGTCTATGGTTGCGCGTGTGCGTGGCTGAGCAAAATTTCCGCTGATGCGACGCTTTGTTGCCATATCCATCAGCAGGAACGTCACGACGATGATGATGAGAACGTGCTGCATGTAATGTGCTGCCCCCCCCGGGGCACGGGCCGCTGAAAAAACCTTTTTCTTTTTTCTTTTTCTTTTTCTTTCTTGTTCTCACAAACTGTATTCCCATATCAGCAGCAATAATGCAGGATATGCAGGTGCAGCACGCGTCCCCGTTGTGCTTATTATATATTGAGCCTCATTGGTCGGTGGGCTAACTTATTGATTCGTATTTTCGCGAATGAAGCGATATGAGCGAGTCCATTTTCCGAAAAGAAATTCTCGCATGTAAATGACATCTCGTATATATGCTGCAAAAATGGCTTATAGCTATTTTGCTGGCTGCGCATGCATCATACACGCATTTGAAGCTGAATCGAGAAAAGTTTATCCGTTACTCCAGGGGAAAGTCCATCATCCGAAAAATAATTTTCATTACATATGAACCCCTGCAAAACAATCTTATACAGTACTGCATATAGTACATTGTATATACAAGAATGATTGCTGTCGTTGGTTCCGCAGATCGATCCCCAAGCTTCAAATAAGATCGTCAACTGCTAAATAAAATATGAGCCATGGAAAATATAATTCCCTTGACCAATTTCAGAAGCAAGTCATCCTTGATCTGGAAAGATTTTATTTCAACACACTATATACAGTATGTTTCTGGCCATAATAAAAAAAAATGCTTATACAGTATAATTGTTCGCAGATCCTGTAAAAATAACTCGATTGAATGTGACGCAAAACTATATTGTCACGGAACTTGATACAAAATATATTGACATTTTGTTGTCGCGCCACTGTGGGCATTTCTCGTTCCTTATTTCAATAGTTCTGTACTTATATTTTCCACGGCAGCAAGAATGAAAGTATATTCAGATATTCTGTATTCATGATCTTCATTTATCCAATAACAAACGTTTTTAAGCTATATCTCCAACTTTTTGTGAGTCTTGCTTTTGTGAAGAAACTCATACTGTATATTTCAAATTTTTCCTGAAAATACTGCATATAGAGCACCCTACTGCAGCAACGTAATTATCCACACTAGAAAGTTGAAAAAGAGTTTTTCAAGCATAGAACTATGCGTAGAACGCATTGTGAGCCTCTGCTGAGATATTAATCTATTCCAAATCCCTTGGAAATTAAATCCATAAAATTTATTTTAAATAACAGCAAACACGGTCAAAAGCAAGGAAAACGTCCAATATGACCAATACCAGATCGATGATCAACAACGGTTTTGAATATACTGTATACTCATGATGCATGCCAAATTCCTACAGAAACATAACTGATTTCAAAGGACGACGATAATTTTTCGTGCCTTCTGCTGTTTTCCAAGGAAAACATATATGGCAGCTAATTTAACATAAGCCAATCTCTGTCTTTCTTTTCCGCCAGGATCATGCAAAATTTCTTGCATATGAAAGATATCAATATTAGAGAGGGAATTGTTATGTACATAGTATGGCCCGGTGAAAGAAGAAATAATGGTTTCTGTAAGGAAGGTATATTTACAAAATAATCCAAAGAAAATAGTTCTCCGAATCATCTCGTCATCATAGCACTAGTTTTTTTATTATAGCTCCCTGGCGTCTAATTGGTTTTATAATTTCCAGTGTATCATAAAAATATCATGAAAAATTAATGAATTTTTATTGCGGGAAATTGATCTGAAGTGTAAACGGAATGAAATACTGCACCGTGAACTCCCGAATCATCAAGATTCAGAATCCTGAAATCACCTTCGAGCAAATAGAATTTCGACAAATATGTGACGTGTTTAATTTCAAGTGCCTACAAATAAACAATGCGGAAATACATATAAAACGCTCCTAGAATTTTACAATATTATACAGTATTAATACAACATTAAATCTTATGAAGCCGTGAACATTTACGGTACTATAAAAAATATGACTGAAGTCTTTGATAAAAGACAAAGGTAAGCTCCACCAGATGCAACTTAAAAAACGAGTTATTCCATGATTGTGACATCATCCAGTATAGAAATTATCATATGACTTTTGCGAAATCATGGTTTCGAAAACGGATTCATTCGAAATATGCATCCGTTTATCCGATTGTTCACGAGAAAAAGAAAACCTTTTTTATTATTTAAAATGGAATTCTAGGGATACCTTTTTTATCATGATATCATTTTATTGAAATTCCGATTCCTATCAATGAAGTAAACGCTTTTTGTTTGGCTGACCGACTGCTGTGAGCTTCTCATTTCTTCGTTTTTACGTAAATAAGCCTGCTGATTCGATGATGGTTTCATCAAGTTCTTCAAATTAAAGAGTCCCAGAAAATGTAGTTATTCGAGGCTTTTTTAAACTTTCTAATTACAAAATAATATGCTCTACATAGTTAGAAAGGCAGGACGAAGATTATTGAGAAGACCAGCACGAGCTCTATGTGAATGGAATATCGGAATTAACAGGAGTGCAAAAATTAAATTTGCAATGTATTAATTAGGAACGGATAACGAGTATTCAGAACGCGTGTAATCTCCATCAAGACTGATGGAGAGATCGATAGCTTCAATCCTCAATAGTTTGTCGTTCATTTAATTATCTCTCTGGAAAGACTCTGTAAAGTTATCTCTGGTACTCATTTTGCTCAAACTTGGGTACATTTCTTGCTCATTAGTCATGGTTCGTTCGTTGCATTCAAGCAACGAACGAATTTCAGCAACTTTGTGCAAAGAAGTTATTTTTAAATTCAACGCCACTTGGATCCTTTAATATCTCAAAATTTGATGAAATCTCCCTACACTACTTTTTCCCCCCAAAAATATTTTTTGCGAGGATGACAGAGTTGAATCTTGAGTCGTCATTCAGACCCCTTCTTATTTTGTTTTATAGTTTGACGTTTTAAAATCGACATTTCTTAGGAATAAACAAAAATATGCCTTTCAAAGTCCTTATTAGCAAGAGAATTATAGCAACTAAAAAAAAGCTACCCAAACTAACGACTAACTATGGCTTGGAGAAATACGTTTTGAAAGCGCTGTGTCGATATAACTTCGAACCTTTGGCTGCAGGAAGAAAAATTACTAAAGTAATTAAATTAAGTGACCCAGGAAAGATACGACAAGTGCTGGCCTGTTTCGGTTGACCGTCTGTAACGAAGCAAATTTTGTTTGTTTGTTTTCTTTTTGCTGACGTGGACAAATATGTATATCTGCATGATGAAGGTCTCATTTTGTGATCTTTGTGCGCGGGTTCAGCACAGCGCAATTCTAAATTATTCCTGCTGCTCTGAATTCGATATCAAGTTTGATTCCAGCTGGCATCAGACAAAAAAAATTGCGAAAACCATCAACTGCATTTTTAGTTGTTTTAAATCAATTCTATGTGACCTTTACGTGCGATTTTGAAAACCGGAATACGTAGTACTGTAAAGATGCAACGCCTTATATTTGCTTGCTGTCGTGTGATTCAGAATCATAAGCTGGTTTTTACTAGACTTGGATTTTTAACTTGATAAAAGGTCTTCAAATACAGTACAGTATATTTAAACACGGCTTTTTGCACTTTTTTCATGATCTTTGGCAGGTTTTTTTTTTTTTTTCGTGCTGGTGTTTTTCGAAGTTCTGGTGTTGCCCGTGATGCAAGCAGTGAATTAATCAAAGTGACAACACTTAATTTCCAATTCCTCCAAATGATTCTATTTCTTTTAATAACCGTTATTTTACTAAATCGAGGAGAGTTGCAAAGGTAATTTGACAAAAAATATCCCAGCATTTTCTGGCTGAGATGCGCAAGAAAAATCCGTCCGCAATCCAGATGAAAAGAATGCTCAATTCGATTTAATGGCAGTTCAAATTTAATGTTCCGAAAATGTACGAGTGAAACAATATCGAAAAATGAAGGAAGGTTTGCGAAGCCAAACCTGTCGTCATGGGAACTGGTTCCAGGGTTTGATCCAACAAAAACGGGTGGGATGGGGCCCAGAAACCCCAGTTACCATAGCGACGCGGTCCGGGTTTCTGGTGTTCCTCACTCGCAAGTCGCAACCCCCTCCATTCTCGAATTTCCATCTGTAAATTTTCGTTGTTGGTCATGATTTTCAAAGTTATGAACACAGTGAAACAGTTCTACGTCAATGTTTTGAATCTTGATAGAAGGTAGCCATCCCAAGAACAAAATAATAAAGACCTTTGGCTTTAATATAGAAGGTCTCAGAAACAAACAAAAAATTGTTGTGTGCTTTGATTTTACAATTTTCACGTCAAAAGTGGGAATTTCCATCAACTTGAATAGTGTGCAGAAACGATTCTGAATTTGGAAGAAGTCAGGAAGCCTTAAATTAATACTCTATTCGAAGCAGATTTTATTTCGTTATTAAGGAACCGAATCAAAATTTATATTGAAGTGAGAAGCAGTTTAATAAAAAAGAAATTGAGTTTTTCTTAAATCACCGAGAAAATAAAAAGTTGAATGCTCTAATAATTTTAAAATTTTCAGAAAAAAAACTATTTTTCATTGTGAAAGAAAGGCTGCATGACTCCAAACAATATTGTTCAAGTACCTGCTGTATTTGGCGCATGGAAAAATAAAAGGGGCTATTCAAAAGATAATGGAGAGGCAAAGATTCTTTTCCAGCAGATCTCAAGGCATTTTTTTCTTCACATCTCTTTTTTCATAGACAATAATCCACCCGTTTTCTTTTGAACCATCCAAAAGCTCTGTACAGGTGGTAAACCACATAATGTGACCCTAATCCATTGGTAAAATTCTGAAGCAGTCAAATTGCAAGACAATGTCAAATGCAACATTTTCTACATCAAATTTAATGTTTTGTGTCTCTCTGTTGGTCAAGTTGCAGCTATAGGGCAGAGGTCAAATTGCAAGTCAACCTCCCAGCAAATTTGATCATCAAATTGCAGAACTGACCAATATATTGTGGGACATCAAAGGGAAATGTCCCACTTGTATATATAGTCTTAAAATGAAAAAAATATTTCCTCTACCTATTTGCTCTTTTATTGTGGCAAATACTTGTGCTTCTTAGCATGATTTTAGAATTTTTTGGCCATTGTTTACATTGTCTTGAGCAATTCATCAAAATTAACCCCTGCATGATGGGCAGTGGCAGGTCAATGTCCATTGCGTGACAGTGCCAGGAAGTTCTTGCACAATTGCGCGTTTTGGTTTGACCAAAGGTCATCAAAATTCAGCTTTGGCTAATAAGTAGCCAAAGTTAGGAAAAATCCCAAAGAGCAAAAACCATTGTCTTCAAAATCCCTTATGCTAATCCTACGGATGGAATTCAGAAAAAATATCATCAGCAGGCAGTAAATGTTTTTTTTCTTCAGAAAAATATATCTGCTGCAGGAATGAAGAGAAAATTGGGATTTTCCCAACTTTGGCTCTTGAGATCATTCTTCTGGGTATTTTTTCTTTTACCAACATTTTGTACCGTAAATAAATTATGGCAGCGCTGCCCAAGAGTTAAATATTCATAGCTCCTCAAAATATTCATATTTCCAAAGTTCATTCACCCAATAATCTCCTTGCTGTACTAATTTTTTTTCGTAAATTAAAAACTGTACGGTAAAAAAAAACTGTTGCGGTTTTTCTTTTGTTTTCTGAGTGCAAATACTGTAAGTATTCATAGTCTGGATGGAAACCCATCAGCAACTGATTTCCGGTGATTCTTTTTCTCTCTCCGTCTCAAGAAAATCAGCGTCGCGATCAGCAGCAGCAGCAGCAGTGCGAAAAAGAAATGCCATCAGTGGCCGGGTCCCCCAATAACAGGAAAGCAACTGCAGGAACAATTAGTGACACTGATAACGCGATGGAAACGAGTCTGCGGTCGGGTCACATCCCATCAGACCTACCTGACCTGCTGAAATCCTTCACCAAGGCAGCCATCAGGACCCTGCTGGGAAGGTGCCCATAATCCGTTCACAGCATCTTAAAAACTTTATTTTGCCGTTGTCTCCGATATAAATTCAACAATTTTTCCCTTTTTAAAAACAAAAATCAGTCTTCAAAATTCGACCAAAAAGGGTTTGTCCAATAAAATTGGGTAGGTTTGAAATGAATTTTACTGAAGGTATTTGCCAGGGTTTAACTTCAAAATTAAAATCGAATAGGAAACAGAGAAATAATAGGCCTAAGTTAATCGAGAACAATATTTTTTTGGCTTCATTATTATTTTTGTTTTAGAAAAATATTTTGTACCTGCTGCAGAAACTCGCTTAATCCGTGGTACGATGCATTAACCATTTGGCTATCCACAAACTTCAAATGTTGCATAATATTTCGAGAAAAAAGTTGTTGTGATTTTGATGGGGATTTCAGCATTTTTGATAATTTGAACTATGCGATCATGTGAGATTGAAGGTTGATTCCTAGGATTTATCATTCCTACAAATGCATTTCTGCAAATCTATGTTTTATCATTGTTTATTGGAATATTTCTCCCTCCGGTTGAAATGGGAAGATGACAAAGAGCTAATATTGTGAGAAATGAGGATATACGGAAATTTACACAAAATAAATATAGGATTGCTTGATCCCATTGTCTTCAAATAACTATTGCAGATTTTAAACTGCATTAAAAACATTCCAGATGCCAGAGACATCTGAGTGCTGATGCAGTTACCCAGCCTCCAAGGAAATTTAATGTTAAAAGTACAAAACTACTTTATGGCTGCAGAAAGTAAGAGAAGCTGGAGCATCTCATTCCTTGGATATTAAAAGAGGACTTCCATTATTGTCTCCAAATCACAGGTTCCATGAAGACAACAATCACTTACACACAATCAGCAAATACAATCTCGCATTGTGCAATAAAAAATCACTTTCAAAAAGAAATAAAATCAGCAAAGAAAGGTTAAGCTTTGCCTATGTCGCAATTCCCGACGCACGAACTTCCGAAGCAAATAACTCCGCGAATTTCATAGTTACAAAAATTTTCAACATTTTAAATTGAAGCAGAAGATGTTCTCAAATTTTTTTTATATCATGTAAAAATTGACATGATCAACAAATCTCGAGATATTCTCACTTTCCTAAACCAAACTTTTCTTCAGTGATAAGAATCTGGAAAACCTTCATGCCAGATTCTTATCTCACTGATGCACAATAAGCTTTTGGTGCAAACAGTGACTTCACAAGCCTTGCTTCTAAATTTACATGCATGAATTTCTTTCTGCAACAAATGACAATATTTATATTCAAACGAATGGCTATTTAAAACACACTATTCCAATCAGTATAACTGGCAGAATTTCTGAACTATTCAGCACCTTGTATTGTAGGTGGGATACAGTGTTCAATTTATCGAAAAGGTTCATATTCTAAAAAATAAAACTCACGAGGTTGAAAACATTTTCCCGCATCTCCCCACCCCCCCTACATATGTATTCAACACAATCTGAACTATCAAAAATAACTGACTATGAAGATGAGACAGGATCACAAGAAAATGCATCACTGAATTGCCTTTTCCACAATAGTGAAAAAAATCACAGCACAAGGCACTGAGGTACATGAGGTACACCATGTCCCTCAAAAAGTTTGTTTTACTGGAGTTGACAAGTTTCTTGTACCAATATTTTTTTTAATTTACCCTACAAGATTCATGTTGGGACTTGGAAACAAGTTTGTTATCCTAAAAAATGTGTTGCAACAGCAGTAGTGTTTGTTGTAGCAATATTTTACTGTACTGTATATATGCACAGAAACTGCTGAGGCAGAGGTGGTGCCATCTGTGCCTCAAGGACGATGGCTGGATTGAAAAAAAAAACAAATTGCGTTTATATGGTGAATTCCGAAAGCGGGGTGTCAATTTGATTGTGGTGATCATATTGTTTGTGAGAGCATACAGTGATTGGATTAATTTATTGCGATATTATAGGTGTGGAATAGACATACTATATACAGTACTTGCAGACACCGCAAGAGTGTAATCCTTTTTTTTTAAAGTAAGCATGCATTATCCAAATGTGTATTTCAGTTTCACAAGAAGGATTGATTAATTGATCAGTAAGCTTTATTTTCTGCTTTTCAGTCTTCAAAAGGTTCAAGCAATATGTTCCTGCAGTACTTTCCTGTTATCTCTGTACCTCATTCCTAGACGGCACTACCATCCAGACAAATCTTTAGGACGAGTTCATAATCACAACAACCTACCAGAAACTGTGAATTTCATTTTTTCACATTCTGCTGAAACTGATTTTGGGAGGCAGTGAGGTAAAGTTAGGTTAGGCCAGGTTATGTTAGTTNCTCTCTTAAGTGTTTTTCTTTCTCCAGATTGTTGTTCGTTCCGGTTTTGATCTCGCGGTTTTTCTTCTACCGCGTCTTTGAAAGTTGTAGAACGTCAGTCGCAGTTTCAGAGCTGACCCGAGACCTTCGTCAAGTCGTCTCATTCAAGTGCCAGGAAGTTGCCTTTTTTTCTTTTGCGTGTCGATGCCTTTTTGGCACTTCGTGGGGAAACGCGGAGAGAAATTTTCTTTTTTCCAGTTTTGTGTCAACAGGATTGAAAAAAAAAACAAATTGCGTTTATATGGTGAATTCCGAAAGCGGGGTGTCAATTTGATTGTGGTGATCATATTGTTTGTGAGAGCATACAGTGATTGGATTAATTTATTGCGATATTATAGGTGTGGAATAGACATACTATATACAGTACTTGCAGACACCGCAAGAGTGTAATCCTTTTTTTTTAAAGTAAGCATGCATTATCCAAATGTGTATTTCAGTTTCACAAGAAGGATTGATTAATTGATCAGTAAGCTTTATTTTCTGCTTTTCAGTCTTCAAAAGGTTCAAGCAATATGTTCCTGCAGTACTTTCCTGTTATCTCTGTACCTCATTCCTAGACGGCACTACCATCCAGACAAATCTTTAGGACGAGTTCATAATCACAACAACCTACCAGAAACTGTGAATTTCATTTTTTCACATTCTGCTGAAACTGATTTGGGGAGGCAGTTAGGTAAAGTTAGGTTAGGCCAGGTTATGTTAGTTACAGATATCTTTCAACCAACATAACCTGACCTAACCTAACTTTACTTATCCGCCTCCCAAAATCAGTTTCAGCAGAAACCCAAAGAAAGCAGAAACTGAGTTTGGGAGGCAGTTGGGTGAAGTTAGGTTGGGTCAGGTTAAATTGGCCAGAGGAAAGGTACAGAGATAACAGGAAAGTACCCCTACATTCAAACCTCCTCAGTCCACAGTATCCTCACCCACATTTATCCCAACACCATAACTTGGAGAATGGAAAATACAGAAATAAGCAGTGCATGTACATTGAAAGAAAATAAAATATGGCAAAAATGTGCAATTGCACATCTGATATAAATTCAAACACTTTCTTCCCTGCTATAGCGCCACAATAAAAAAAGAAAATATCAAAGACAAAGAATTGCAGCAAAAGGCAACTACTGCGCCAAAATTAGAGCACAAGCTGTTCAGCCTGTCCCAAAATAAGTTTTAGTTGATTGAACAATTTGGAGAGAATCTTTGATTAAAAATGGTTATGAAGTTAACAGCTTGTCTTGGTCCTCTTATGGTTTTGGAAAGAAGGATGATGCTTGAGGGACTATGAGAACATGTGACAAATACTGGGACAAAAAGGTGGAAGACACTTTGAAAAGTCAGAATTTGGTGATATGTACAGTATATCTTCTTGCTCTTAATAATTTGAACTAGTTCAAGTTCTATGGAAGGCATTTCGAAAAAATGGACAATTTCAGCTTTTCAATGAAATGTTTCAATCAATTCTTCAATTTCTTTGTGCCGGATGTTGCGTAACTGTTGGAATTAAAAGGCTTGACAATTGAACAAGCATCATATATAAAGTTGGGCCTTGATATAACTCAAACTTCCCTAATTTGAATATCTCGGTGCCAATTTTTGACATACCCGTATGAATTACTTCAGAAAGAATGCACAGAAGACCTCCCTAAACCAAAGGCTCTCTTCATTAATCTCTCATATAACTCAAATTTTCTGGAGGCCTTTAGACTATTACTTTATTGACCCCGGGATAAAGAAATCATCAAAAATGCAATTTGTTGCGTTTGAAATTAAATGTACGACTATTTTGGCAAATGAACCATCGCTTAAAAGTTCAACATCCTGTCAACTTATTTGAAAATAAATTCAAAGCCCAGCAGATACAACAAATCACGACTTCCTGTAATTCTTCTGTCCCTCAACTAAAATACACGTTTTCCAACTGAAATTTTGTTGCTGGCCCTTTGAAGTTCGACTGTATTTTTAATGGGGTAAATGTTCAGAAATCATCTTTATCCCTATTTGTTATATCCACTTTCGATTCTAGTTTATACAGTATTTGCGGTCTTAATTGCACATATTCTACTGCACTATTCTACATTTCACAGATAAATAAATATTCCTAAATATTCCAAAATAAAAGTGCGAATCGGCCGAAGTTCCGCGAAATGAAACCTTGAAATAGTGGCGAATCTTGTTGGCTGCATAATTATCAGCATGCTGGAAAGCACCGCCAACAAAGAATACCGGATTCACGCTGAAATTGAGTGTCACCTGTTGCGTGATTTCTGCCATGCCCTGGTATGATGTCAAGCGTCAGCTAGATGACGCTCCAAAGCAACGCCGAGGTTCCTCAGTGCGTGAGAAGCCGCGGATCCCTCTGCATCTCATTAAAACAAACAGCGGTACGCTACAGTTTTGTTTTGACATTAAATTCGTCTTCCTGCGCAAATTTGACGAATTCTCGATTCCCAATCTTGCACGCAGATGGCCAAAACATTTTGATAGTCGCCGGGGACGAGGCGAAACATGACACCCCGTCGAATTTTCGTCACAAACCGGAGTTCGATTGCAAAAATCGAGGATCAGGAAAAACCCTGGAAAGTAAATTCAGCTTCCGATCATTCGCACATTTCTTTAATTTAATTTATGCATCTGAAAGTAGGACCAATCATTAAGAAAAAATTGCTTTAATTTTTGAGACAATATCATTTTCATTTTTGAGACAAAATTGATTTTAATATTTGAGGGAAAAATTGTTTAATTTTTGAAACAAAGTTGTTTTCTATTCAAGACAATATTGTTTTTATTTTGAAAATGACAATTTTTTCATTTTGTATACAAAGTTGTCTTCATTTTTAAACTTAGCATTTTCATATACCTTACTAAGCAAACAGAGCAGAATGCCAGAAAAAAAAGTCTGATCACGCCAATTTTTTCTGTTCAATAAATTTTTTTTGTCCCTAAATAGCTGTATTCCCCACACAATCGGCGTTCTCTTCAACGAATTTTCTCTACAAGGAAATTAACGGAACCAGAAAAATCGAGGCAGAGATCATTTTTTTACAGGTCGCGTATTTGAACAGCTTCATGAGACGAAATACAATAAATCGTTTTGCAGAAAAAATCTTTGTAGATTTTACATGTATGCAACGCTACTCTTATTTTTATGCGATTTTATTTTATTAAAAAAAGTAAAAGTATTAGCCTAAAAATTAAAAAAAGTCTCCGAAATAACGAGAATACTGTAATTTTGTTTCCGATATGAAATATATAATGCACAAAACACAGTTCACCTACTGCTGTAAATTATGTGCTGCATATAATAAGATAAAGGAAATGAATTTTGCTCGCATAAATGATTTTAAAAAGGCACCTTTTTTGTGTTGTCCTTTTCTTTGTTACTGCTGGTGGATCATTTTTTAAAAATACAAGTTAAAACCTGTTCTTTAGTTTCTCCTTTTTGCTATAGTGCTTTCATCAGTAGTTAAGTCAACGTATGTAATGTAGTTAGTTACCTTCAGGAAGGGTAATTACATGTTTGCTGTGTATATACGTGTGAGTCTTGGCAATATTGCCAAACAAATAAACTGGACTGCACGCGTTATTGACAGGACAGAGGGCGGCCTTGGCTGCCGGTCGCCGCAACGCCGTCGTCGTCGTCGCTTCCTCGTCATCGTCGACACCGTCGTTGACGCGTGGCGACACTGGGGATGCTGACGACACTGAACCCGCCGCGGAAGTTGGCTTCGGGCCCGAACCCGGGAACCTCGGGAACCCGGCGATGGCGGGCGGCGATGAGGAGGTGGTGCTGTGCACGCAGCATGATGGCGCAGGCTCGTCGGTGTCGGTGTCGACGTCGTCTAGAAATACTTCCCCGCTGCGCAGTGTCCGCGTGAGGCTGCTGAGGGACCTCACGCACAGGATCCACGGGCTCCACCATCATCATCATCAAGAGCCGCCACATTCATCACCGCCGCCGCCGCCGCCGCATCAGGTGTGATGATATAAAGAGCCGCCCCCTTATTCTCTCTCTCTCTTTCTCTCTCTCTGTGTTCCTCGTACGTCGTGGTCTTCTTAATTGTCCCTCTGTGTTCATTCCTTCTTATTCTCTCGGCCATTTTTCTCTAATTGGCCCCATCGTGTCGTGTTTCCCGCCCATCACCAAAAAAATCAAAGTTTTGCGTAGTTGTGTGAACCTTATAATATACCGTGTCGCCTTGTTCATTCCGGACGATGGTGTGTGATGTTCGTGTCGTTTCCCGGGAAACTCTCGTGACTCATCAGAGAGACAACAGCTATAGGTCGGAGTGGAATATGGGGATGACGAGAGACTAAAACACAGCAGCGCAGTGGAATTTTATTCATACAAATATTTTTATTTTTTTTTTAATCCGGGACGATTCGTATGTGAAACTTTCTAGCTTTTTCTGCAAGAAAATATCTTCAGAGGGAAGGCATTTTTTTAGTGTTACTGTGAGAAGTGATTTTTGCGGTGGATATTATTCAGGTATTAGTGATCGATGAGTGAGATGGCCGATGAAGTAACTTATACGAGGGACGAGCGAAACAAATTCGAGACAGGGAAACCAGCATTTTTGTACAGGGAACTGATTTCTGTTGAAGAAATCAGCAACCTTGCGAGGACTTAATATGCGATATTCAACACGAAAATTTTGATTTTCGACAGAAAATTCCGATATTTTTTATCTCGTATTTTGCATATTCAAAATTAATTCAAGATTTGCCTATTGTAGCTTCTCAAATTCGTACCTTTATTTTTTTATCGAGAATCATAGAAAATTGTGTTTGACACAGCAGTACTGTATTAGGAACGGTTTCAAAGCTAAAAACATTCAGGAACCCATTATATTTTAAAGCTATATTTTTCTCTGCAGAAGATATATAATTTAAAAAAACCTTTCAGGCATTTTTCCAGTTTTACAAGTGAGGAGGTTTTCTCAAACGCGGTGAGTCTCAAAAGAGCGAGCACTAAAGAAAAATAAAGCCAAAACACGAAATAGATGCTGCAAAAATATCAAATACGAGCCGGAGAAGAGGGTGTCAAATTAAAAACTCGAAGAATAGTTTAGTCTCTCGGAAAAATTCCTCTTCGTGACTCGTCATCACTGACTGCTTTTCTGAAATCTGAAAAGGTCAAGTTAATCCATTCCGACCAGAGAAAATAAAATAAAATACTAGCTAACCCACACATTGCCAGCTTCAACAGGAAATATAGAAAATACACGTGCTCAAAAAAAATGAGTGTTTCGTGAAATTGACGCAGCGAAATCAGGCAGATATAGTCGGAAACATCATCATTAATAGGCGCGTATTTCATCTCTAAATAATACATTTATGCATACATGATTCAGTGCTTGCGTCTATGAATAATTGATCCGAGTGAAAAAGGATATTTTAGTTTCGTGGAACGAGCGACTTCCCTGATCAAATCATGGGCGCCGTTCGTATGTAAATGGGTGACGTTCGCAGAAGCGCCTCCTGTGGTCGTCGCCGTCGCCGGTAGCGTCCCTCAGCAGGAAGTCGTCCATCCCCGAGTGCCTCCTCGCCGCCGCGGCGACCAACAGCAGTGCCGCCGCCGCCTGCGTAGGCGCTCTCGTCGTCTCCACCGCGGTGGACGCCACTTCGGCAGTCATGGCGACGTCGTCGTCGTCGCCCGAGCCGCCGGACCCGGCCCGTGGCGGCTCTTCCGACAGCCTGGAAGACGCGTCGTTTGCGTCTGCGTCGTCCACGCTCAGCGGCGACATCTGTGTGACTACGGGCGAGCGAATGTCGAGTCCGAGTGACGCTCTGTGGGCGGACGCCGGAGAGGATCAGATGGCGGCGGAAGCACCAGCACCAGCACAGAGCCCAGCAGCATCAGCTGCTGGGACACACCAGTTGCGGGTTGTGGATGACGAGAGTCTGTCCAGGCTGCTGAGCATCATCAACAAGGCCAGCAGCTGTCCCGGGGCCGAGGCTGGGGGGACTCCTCTTCATCATCATGCGACCCAGTCCTTTTCAGCAGCAAGCAGGCCAAAGATCAACACCAGGTTAGTCCATGAATATATGTGTACTGTATATGCAAAAAGATTTGGGGCTCTTGTAATTGGATGGAAAGACTTTTTCCAAAAGAAAGTGTGTGTATATAAATCAGTTGTGCATCAGTCTTGAATCAGGCTTTTCTGTTAACACATCTTGATGTGATGGAATGAGTTGGGATAGATGAGAGTGGGGATGAGTGGAGGGGGTTCGGATGTGGAAACATTATTTGAACCTTGTGAATGCTGAAAATAGGTAAAAAATAAAAAAGGCTTGTTTATCAACCAATCAATCAATACATAAGCAGCCAAGAAGTTGTTATCCAAGTGTGGATAGAAAAAACAAACACAGGCTTCAATTGGATAAAATACAATATTATTGCACAGTATTTTGATGTACACTTCAAACACACTCAAATAAGTAAGATGTGTTAAAAGGAGACTTCCAAGAATACGTGAGGATGTTCCCCTGAGAATACACAATATGATCCTCTCAAGATTATGATTATTTTCTGGGTTCGTGTGGCGTAAATGAATTATAGACAAGTATATTTCAAAATAAAACCTTGGAGCTATTTCTTGTATCTTGGAAATAATTCCAAGATTATGCTTTTACTAGCTGGGAATCTAGGGGAACATGATTAAAGGAATTACTTGAGAATTCAAAGCTTAACAAAACAGTTTTAGGGTATGAAAAATTGTTGGGAATCTTGTAGCTACGATAGAATTGATCGCACAATTTTATGGGAATGTTTTGAGTCTGAGTGACCAATTTCCTGCTAGAATATTAAGAAAAATAGTTGAATTTTTGTTTTGTTTTTGGGAGCCAATTTTTCTAGAGATAGTTTGAGGATATTTAGGATTACAAAGTATTTAAAGCAGAGTTTATTAAGAAAGTAAAAAATCTTTTCTAAGCCAATCTGTGGCAAACTTTGGATATGTTTGCGAAATGTCTTGCCCATGAGCAGTGAAAATGAGGAAAACCAATATTTTAGCTGAGGCTTAAGTCAGGAAAAAGTGTTATATTTTTATATGTACCACCCTCTCAAAATTGAAAAAACCGATGCATTTCATGCTAAAAAAAAGTATGATAGCAGAAAACTAGTTTGGCACAAAGTAACTAGCTATAATGCTTCGAAGTCAACCCACAATTAATTACCACCATTTGTTCCAGAACATTTTGTGGCACTAAGCAAGAGTGGCAATAAATCCAGGGTAATACAAAAAATGGGAGTTTCAATTTAAGGTGAATAACAGGTACAACATTATGTAGTTCACATCAATATTAGGTCCACAATCATGTTCTGTTAGAATAGTACGCATAAAACTATTTATGAGGATTGATACGTGACAAGACTATGAATATAACGTAAAAGTTTAACGTATTAGTATTACAACGTGGTAGAAAAAAACGTTTTCTTGTCACGAAAAATGGTATTTACAAAAATGACACACACGTAATTTCGCAATGATTAAAAGAAGAGGTTGTGGTAAAATGCTTTGAATTAATGAATAAGCCATTTCAGGTATGAAAATTCTCTCCACTTTAGAGGAAACCCAAATACTGCCACAAAATTAAATTAATGATTAAGTCACTTGGGCAAATATTGAGCAATATGTAATCAAATCCTTAGAGGTGGTACAAAATGGGGGGCACTGAATCAAGGGTTGACTTTACCATTCGAATTTGTTTGTTTCGCTTCGTAGAAAACTAAATTAGAAGAAAAATATCCGATTCCGCGCAGAAAAGTACAAAAACATTGCCTCAACAAAACAGCATCGTGTATGATTTTAAATTTTGCATGCTGGTGTCCAAATACTCCGTGGGATAAATTTGTGCATAAACAATTAATTGACCGTGTACACCGCTATAGACAAATGTCAGTTTTTGTAAAAACAAATCCTTAGGTTTTTGAAGACGATAAAAAATTAACTCGCGTCATATATGCCGAAGTGGAATATAAATTCATTGTTTATTAAAAGTAATAAACCTAAGGTTTACCCCATTTCTTGTACGCTCAACACAAAAAACTTGATTTTACAGGGGAAAAAAACATCGTCGATCATTCGGCCGATCCTCGATCTCTGCAATATTTCAAGAGTGTGCGTGTTTCACTTTAATTCGAGAGAGTAAAAGACAACGATCACGACGAAGAATTTGAGGAATTCAAATGTGTTTCCGCTCCTCCTGAAGTTTCCACTTTATCGAAGCCTTTTGTTTATGCCCAACCGTGGGGGTGCCCTTTTGGTGAGTGCTATATACTGATGGTCGCTGCTGCCTGCCTGGATCCCAGCACCGCCTTTTACCCCCACATCCCACCCCTTGCTTGCTTGTGTAAACACATTTATCCATGTCCGTGTCACGGTCTAAGTGGAAGGTGAAGGCTGGGTAAACTGGGCTGGAAACACATGCTCGTCCACACCTGCTCTTTATGCTGGCTACAATCCCAAAGAAAAAGACTCGTCATTATTTGCTTTATTTCCTCATCTGGATTCAATGTGGGGATTTTTTTAAAATTTTTTAGCTGCACCATATACAGTACATTGGAATGACTTTTGAGAAAGCAGCAAATTACCTTGCCTTTGTACTAATGCAGCAGCACATCCCACAGAAGATTCATTCTTTATTGGATGGATACAGTTTCAGAATATTTTTAATGCTCATTTTTGAAAACGTATATTTTTCTAAAATTTGAAGTGAATAGGGGGATGCACATGACAGCAGTGGGTAACTGGGTATTCATCAAGAAGTCTTGGGCATGAGTTATACTGTACTTGATTCAAATGGAAAATTTTGGACCAAGTTCAACAGGAAATGCTAATTTCAATCGAAAAATTTGAAAATTAGTTGCATTCAGGGTTGAGTCATGCCTAAATTCAAATTTGTGTGTTCTTATTTTTTAAAGATTGTCGTTTTAAAGGCACTAAAATTGGTTGCATGTCTTACTTGAGGGGAGAGAATTGTATCAAACCATTCAACTCAAAAACCCTTTGAACCGATTTATATCATTATGATTTAGAACGACCCGAAGGAATTAAAAACAGTCTCCCGTTATAGACCTAAAAAGACTTGAGCCCACGTAAGATCGAGGTAGTCTCCAGTAGTTTTAATGGGATGGTTGCAAAGGCGTAAGTCAGAAAAAATACAGAAAAAATAAATCCTCAAGTTTTTGGAAATCAGCAGGGTTAATCCTATGTTGAGAATGCAGCAGAAATGCCACCTGTCAAGGCATGTTTTCAGCAAAAAATTTCTGCAGAAAGATAAAAATATCAGACTTTTTCCCAACGTAGGCCTTGGCTAAAAAATTAGAGCCTCTTCTTATCAGAGCTCATGGACGAGACATCTTGTAAAACCAGAAAGGTTATTAGCAGCATGTGGCAGATGAAAATGATAAAGCATTCATTTTTTGTCTTTATTTGCTGTTCACCAGACTTTAACCCTTTCCTGCTAGGGTCTTTTTTTATTGAGATGGAGGCATAATTTTTCAAGCTATATCATCAGTTATAATTCCTACTGAGTTAACTTGGAATTGAATGACAAAATTGAAAAAGTCCTTAAGACGATTGAAAAATGTGAGACAAAAAAAGGCTGAAAATTTGAAATAAACTCGAAAGACTGATCCAAAAATGTCTGAAAATTGAGATTTGAAAAACCCGAAGCAAAGGCTCACAAAAGAAACAAACTCCTGGATGATGGGTTTTGCATATTTTAACTTTACAGCTTTAAAAAGAAACCAGTTGTATCATCCAGAGGCATTGCTGTATTTTCGAGTTTTTAAAATAAATAGAACCTCATATGTAGACGATCAAAAAAGTTTGGTTACAAAGCTTTCTGCAAAAAGTCTGAGCAAAAAAAAAAAAATCCTGAAAATCGTCTTTTTCGACTTTCCGGATTTTTGTCATCTCAAAATTAGCTAGAGGAAAGAAAAGCAAATAAACAACTGTGAAAATATGAATATTTCCATCGATAAAACTTGCGAAAAGCGAGGGGGGAAAAAGAGCAAGAAATTAGTGTAGTACAGAGCATAGAGCAGCAGCGGATCATCCACCAGTTGCATAACACTCAAGCGTTACGTGCCAGGGGAAAAGTGCACAAGTGCGGTCGATATTTTTCTCCTTTTTTCTCCTGTCTTTCATCTTCGTTATTTAAATAGGTGTCATGCGTGCTGTGTTTTGTGGATTTTCTTGGCAAAGGTCCTCTTGAGTTTTCCGGTCGCCCACTAAGTGCGGTCGATATTTTTCTCCTTTTTTTTTCTCCTGTCTTTCATCTTCGTTATTTAAATAGGTGTCATGCGTGCTGTGTTTTGTGGATTTTCTTGGCAAAGGTCCTCTTGAGTTTTCCGGTCGCCCACCTTTTTTTCTTCTTCTTCTTCCTCTCATTCACCTCTTGCTACTGTGAGTGTGTGTGTATGTGTTGCATGTTCACCCTTATGCTCTATACCGCAGTCACATTCTCCTACCGTCTCCTTCTGCAAAATAATGGGCTGGATTATTTCTGCATAGCTTTTTGCACAGGGGTGGTATTTTGAGACTGGAAACCCAGAAAACTTACTCCTCGGTGGCTGGTCTCGACGACCAACTTCACGAGTCCCATTATGAATATTCTCTGCTGAAAACCGGGAAAATTTCTTCAAAGTCGAGACCCAACAGGAAAAAGAACAATTTAAATAAGTTGAATGACATTTTTAAAATTAATACAAGATTTTATGGGGGAAAATGTGTCAACTCACGGAGTAACGTTTGATCATATAAGTGCGGTCGATATTTTTCTCCTTTTTTCTCCTGTCTTTCATCTTCGTTATTTAAATAGGTGTCATGCGTGCTGTGTTTTGTGGATTTTCTTGGCAAAGGTCCTCTTGAGTTTTCCGGTCGCCCACTTTTTTTCTTCTTCGTCTTCCTCTCATTCACCTCTTGCTACTGTGAGTGTGTGTGTGTGTGTGTGTGTGTTGCATGTTCACCCTTATGCTCTATACCGCAGTCACATTCTCCTACCGTCTCCTTCTGCAAAATAATGGGCTGGATTATTTCTGCATAGCTTTTTGCACAGGGGTGGTATTTTGAGACTGGAGACCCAGAAAACTTACTCCTCGGTCGCTGGTCTCGACGACCAACTTCACGAGTCCCATTATGAATACTCTCTGCTGAAAACCGGGGAAATTTCTTCAAAGTCGAGACCCAACAGGAAAAAGAACAATTTAAATAAGTTGAATGACATTTTTAAAATTAATACAAGATTTTATGGGGGAAAATGTGTCAACTCACGGAGTAACGTTTGATCATATTTCTCACATCATCCTGTGAAATATCGTAGGGGCCTTGGGTTTTTGACAGGCAAACTCCTCAGAATAACGAACAATTTTTCAAGCTTGCCGAAGTCATTATTTCTGTGGCCAGTTGCATTCAATTCTTGACGTGAATTATTTTTAGTCTTTGCGACAATAATTTTAATCATGTTTGCAAATGTTGGAAAAATAAAAAAAAAGTTCTGTATCAACCCCCGACTGACGAGAACCCTTGATTTCAAGAATCCCTCATCCTGGAATTTCATCAAGGGAAAATACGCATAGTCTCAACTTCGATCATCTTTTAAAACTTCTTGGAATGGCCATAAAGAAAAGAGTCCAAGTGGTAGAATTTGACATAATTTTTGTCACTATCCAGAACTTCAACATTCATAGACTTCTCGGCACAGCCGTTTAGCCTGTTTATGCCACGGATTTTAGTGGGATTTTCCTTTGAATTGAAATACGAGCCACCGTATAAAATTAGAAAAATTTTTTCTTGCCATGAGAAAAAGAATACGTTGTCTTTTATTCAAACTACAGTACAGTATAATGAAATGATGCAACTTATCATTATTTGATGAAGAATTCGAAAGAGTCAGCTGATGAACTTAAATTTGAGACATTTTCAAAAATTATGTAAAAAAAATATTCAATGGAAAATTCTGAGCCCCGAACAAAATAGTTGCGAACACCCTGGAAAAACAATGTTTAGATCAGCCCAAATTTTGAAATTTGGTCTTTTCTTTTTAAAATTTACATTCAGAAATCGAGTTTAAACGTCCCCTTCTTTCTCATGATACGTTTACGCAAAAATAAAATTGATAGCCCACAATGTCTGCGCTGAATAATACAGGGATCCCCAGAATTACCAAGAGAGATCCTACTCGCGAAATTTCCGAGCGGACATCTTCACACTAACGAACACAATATCTGAATTCTTTTTTTTCGATAAACCACCATGACAGGTCACGTACTCCAGTACAGTTTCGTACTGCTGTACTACATTGTCTGGGACCTTTTTTCTTTTTTGTTGTGCATGGTAAAAAGTTGAGGACCCAGGGAGGGGCTTAACCCAAATGAATGTTATGTGGCACGCCCGAGTTCGACTTGTCGCATGCCCTGTGTCACTCACTCAGTCGGTGAAGCCGCATTCTTGCACAAGAGGCCACAACCGGAACGAGAACTATTCAAAACGAAGCATGGGAAAGAATCCATCTAAACAAAACAAAGAGAGAGAGGGAGAGAGAAGATGCAGAGAGCGAGAGACAGAATTACTTAGGTCACCTCGACAGACGGTACTTCGCCAACTTTCAATTACTAACTGTATATATACCCGGACTCGCTATATTGTTACTTTGTGTCACTCGGAAAGTGAGGATGGACGCGACATCTGTTGCCACTCCACGAGAACTTTGCTCTGAATGGAGACTTTTTCCATCACCTTGCTCTTATTGCGTTTTGCAATGAAGTTGCTGGGAAATCCTTCTGATTATTTTGAAATTATGCTCGTATATTGCGGAATTATATCGATGTCATGTCAGAAAAACAACTTTAATGTTGAAGACGAATGGAAAATGAAAACAGCGTTTATTATACAGAATGGGTCTTTTCGATGAAATACGGCTGTCAAATTTGAGGACAAGCAGCATTCCAAAAGTTTTTTCATTATCGTGAAATAAAGTTGTTTTGTCACCAATTTTTTTTTATCCTTTACAGTATAATATTTGTTTGAATATTTCAACTCACAATTCCAAATTATACCGGATTTCTTTATTAGTTTATATGTAAGTTGTGAAAATACAGTATTTTTCAATCATCCAACATACTTTAATTCCAAAACTTGAAACAAGAAGACTGATGAAACACATGCAGAAAACCTAGTATATTTGTGTTTATTTATACAAAAAATTATATTCATTTCTGCCGAGATGAATCTGAGATATATCGAAATTTTTGCACCATTTTACAAAGAGAATTTCATTTTCAATGGTACTTCCTCTCATGAAGAGAGCATCAGAAATTTATAGAAACTTTCCAATATATGCGACTCTGTGAATAAAAAATACAAATGATCAAAATCATGTGTGGCTCAAACTTTTGGGCGTGAAACTGGAAAATCTTGAGAAGACTTCGAATTAATTTTTGCGGAGTCTTTTCATGCTTTTTAATATGATATAGGGTCGTTATTTAGTTTCTATAAAAGTTCCTCTCAATGGCCGATTGAAATGGTTCGTATTTTAGGTTGCACTCATAAATTTTGACAGCGTCTATAAGCATCTGAATATATTTCATTGGATGCATCATTTATAATGGCAGGACAGTTATTGTGGGCAACTCGCAAGCTACACGTACTTTTCGAAAATATATTTACATGCTTATAAGGAAAACATTTTCTACTACTGTATATATTTTATCTTCCTTCCTGGCCCTTTTTCGCAGATACGTGGGCATCTACAGACAGCGAAGTCTGCCATTCCGCAGCGCGTCATTTTCGCACGTGGACCGCGAGCCAGCGACACCTGGCGGCACCATGTCCCAGTCCATGTCCACGTCATCGTCCCCGTCACCAGCGAGTGCGGGCCAAAAGCTCCTCAGACTCTTCCACCTGAAACCCGGCTCCTATGCCCATTCCAAGGACGCAGCAGCTGGTGTCAAGCACCAGCATCAACATCAACAGCAAGAGCATCAAGCAGCGACTGCCAGCAATAAAATCCCGGCGCCGATCGGAGAGGAACCCGTTCAAATGGCGGGCAATTTTCAGCAACAGGTGCGGACGTCGACTCTGTCGCTGGACTCTGCTGTGGGCCCTTTGTTCCTCGGCACTGGGTGTGCTGCGGACCAGGACGCAGCTAGACTGAGTATTGGGAATGATGACGATGATGATGATGATGATTTGCTGATGCCCATCAGGCCGCCTCGGACGCGCAAGGAAGGCAGGGCGGCTCATCACCGCCACTTGCCGCCACTCATTCGGGTGAGGAATCCTCCGTTGTCTACTGTACACATATACGAGTATATGCTCAACATGCTGGCATAATAGGCGGTGGCTGCTGAGCACCAGCATGAAATTATTGAATTGGGCTCGTCGTTATTGAACGGCGCTGTCATTTTGTGTTTTGAAACCACACAAGTTGAAATATTTGAATGAGGCATTCTGTCTTATTCTTTATATGTACACTTGGTGCTTTTAAAATATTTTAATGAATAATCTCAGCATTTTATTAGTTCGGAGACGCGTCTCGAGAATTCAGATTGATTTTTTTTTCTTGACATACAAGCTGTAATCGTCACTCGTCAGCATTCACAATGTACACAAGATTTTTATAATATCGAATTATGAGGGAATCTCAGTATAAAGGAAATTTGTCTGGACAGTACAATACTGTACAGTATGTTTAATCATAATTTATTATGATGTATCGTCAGCACTACATGTGCCCCAGTTATGAGTACATACAAATATTGTCATGCCTGGAAAGATCCATCATTAAAAAAATGAGGAGGTCCACCTTACTCCACATACTGTACCCGTATTTACTCGAGTACCAAGCGCACTTTTTTTTTTAATAGAGGCGGAAAAATTAGGGTGCGTATGATACTCAAGGTAAACTTTTAAAGAAAAAATCCCCAAAGCCACTGCCCGTCACATATGGAAGCACGGAAGTACAATACTGTACATCTGAGTAGAAAAAAAGGAAAAGGAAATTTGTGGCTTCAAGTCTCCTTGTCCATGGTTGAAGGAATAACAATTTCAGGAATAATGTACATCAGTTGGAGATGCAATGGGAAGTAAATGAGGAAGGGGAAAATATGTTGAAAAAAATGGTAGAATGGCATTTTTTTTCTCAATTGGTCTGAATCCTCAGCCATTTGGCAGAAAAAAAGAAATTTCTTTCCTTAGCCTGTGAACCAACCCCAAGTTGGGTTCCCAGGCTCAGCAAGTACATTTCTGAAGGAAAATCTCTTTCATTGAAATTGTCCTTCAGTCGAATTTAACAATTTTCCTGGTCTCTTAAATCTTTCTGATTTTCATCACTTGCGACCCATTTGCAACTCCAAGCCGATCTCCAAGCAGCTATTTTGTGTGTGTCTTCAAAGCAACTCAAATCTTCAGTCGAATTTAACAATTTTCCTGGTCTCTTAAATCTTTCTGATTTTCATCACTTGCGACCCATTTGCAACTCCAAGCCGATCTCCAAGCAGCTATTTTGTGTGTGTCTTCAAAGCAACTCAAATCTTGTGTCAAAATTTGAACTTTTTCTTTTCTGAATTTACCAAACTTGAAAATATATCAACTTCAGACTAGGACGTACACAAATTCCTAGCCACAGCCCAACTCATCAACTGTGTTAATTTGTTCCTATAGCTTCCAAACATCTCTGATCAAAGCACTTTTGCGCAGAAAGTCTCAATTCATTATTCAAGCTTATTTTGTCTTTCAACTTTGTGAGACAGATTTGATTTTCTCACAAAATATCCATCTAATTGAGGAATCTGCCATAAATTGCATGCTCATTTTAACTGCTCCTGCTGGCAATAAAAAAAACAGAAACGACAAAATATCCATATGAAAAAAGGAATTCACGCTCAAAATAAAAAACCCAATTCCTGATTTGCTGCACACAAAAAAAAAATAAAATAAAACTGGGGTGCGAGTCTTACCCAGGGTCGCCAAGAATAGGTTTTTGCTGGGCAAATTTCTCACTAAAACAATTGGGGTAGTGCCTGCCTTTACTCGGGGGCGTGTGTTGCTCAAGTAAATATGGCATTGTGCAACAAAGCCATTCCTGGTGGAAAGAAAAGCTCGTTTTACATCATAGTAACATATACTGTATATATGGCTGCAGCAACATGGAGCAGAAGTCGAGATGCGAAATGAGATTCATAAATGATCCAATTGATGGGAAGTAAATCGCGTGCAAAAGTCGGAAGTTGGTGGGGTGGGGGCGAGAAGCGGAAGGAAGGAAGGAAGGAAGTAGTCCTGCAGCAGCCGAGTGTCTGGAGACTGACTGACTGGCAGCAGTGTGCTGGTTTTCCTCTCTATGCCCCCTCTGTCGTTTTTCACATCCCCTGCCAAGGTTCAGAGGAGACACCTGGCCAGCTGGGTCTTGTTCACTTTTCTGCGAGAATAAAGGGGGGGTTCGACTCAGAGGGGGGGTTCAACTGCTATCGCGGGGTATTCGGGTTCGCCTGGTCTTTTAGTCGAGGGCAGACCAACAGTGTGCTGTTGCTCATCGAGGCCTCGTCGTTGTCTGCCAAATTATAATCCCAGTCAGTGTTCTGCTCGCGTTTGGCAAGAGAAATTGAAAAGGACGGCATGATCGAGTCGAAAATTACAGAATTACTGGCCCACATAGTCTGTAAAGTCTGCCAATCTGCTTCTTCGTTGTTCGTTGCTGTTGTTGTTGTGTACAACGAAAATGACTCGTTTCGTGTCCTAACAAGCAAGCGAAAAAAAGTGAATCAAACCTGTGTGTCATGATTTGAAAATCCCTTCGCTGTTTTGGTCAACTGTGTAATTAATTGACACATGCTAAAATTTAAATGTTTTCACGCATGATATTGTTTTCTTCGAGGACCTTCATATTATGATTTATAACTTCCGCGGTTTCTGAAGATTTATCTTGAAAATGTAATGCTTAATTGATTGCACTTTCCGCGAAATTTTTTTTAAAAGTAATTTAGTCAATTGATAATTCGAAAAGGCCCTGCGGTGTAAAATGAAGCCAAATCAACTTGTAGTGTTGAGTGGTTTTGTTTAGAACATTCAATTTATATGCCGAATTTATGTTTTAAAAAAAAGACGTCGGACATGGAAGTGCACACATCCTGGAGAATAATATATAAATGAAATTTAAATACCGCGACTATAACTTGAAATATGGAATATTGTCCATTATTTGTCACATCCTCATTTGCTTTTCCATTTGATGGTTCAACAATAAGTTAAAACTATATTTATACCTTTTACGTCGATATACCCGATATTTTTTTACTGGAATATCAGATAAAAGGCAATCAGATTTGGCACTTGAATATCAATACAGAAAATTACTGTATGAAAATGTGACGATATCCTAATTCGCGAGATCCTTTACGAAGTATGAGAGAAAAGTGAGTTCTTTTGGTTCACATGTGCTCGGATCGAGTGTGCTGGGTCAAATGAGCGCGAAGGCCAACTGAGCACCAGGAACAACTGCGCGTCAGCTCAATCGGTCGAATCCTTTTTCTTGGTGATCTTCAAAAAATTTTAAATTACCACTTTTAGCAGGTTAATTGTAACACGAATACGGACTTATTAATCGCTGCAATTCTGGAAATCCTTCCTTCGTCGATAATTAAGAAAAAAACACTTTTTGAAACCTTTATTTTTTTGCGGAGTGGAATTAAACTCCTTTTAAATTATTTTCTATCCCTTCTACGCAGAAGAAAAAAACTACCAGGAAATGTCTGGAAGCCTTTATAGTAAGTGAAATCATGCAACTGACATAACTCAACAGAAACCTCGTAAATCTTGAATGTTTCAATCAATTTTTGAACTAAGACGCTTCGACAGCTAAAAAAAAAAAATGCCGACCCCGAATAAGGTGTAAAAATAAAAATACCCAGGTTTTCCAGCTCAATCTTTCGTACGCCGTTTCAATTTTCCCTCCATCGGAGAACATTTTTGTTAGACCCCCTCATCGTACATCACGAGACTGCATATCCCAGCAGTGGCGCTCAGTTGTCCCGGCTGGTGCTCAGTTGGGTTCCGGTCAGTTGTTCTTGTTGTGGTGGTGGTGGTGGTGGTGGTGTTGGTGGTCACGCGGGTTGAGGTGCGTATGATTGTGCAGCCAGACGACTTGTGCGAGCAGGAAGAGGAGGCGGAGCTTCTGGGCTCCATCATCAGGGCGGCGCCGTCTTCTTCTTCTTCTTCTTCGGCAGCAGGAGCATCAGCTGCCGAAGACGTCATTGACGGCGTGATTCGAGTCCGACTCCGCCTGGGCTCCAAAAGCCTGTCCCTGGACGAAGCAGAACAACAACAACAACAGCAAATCACGCCTTCTAGAATCTCCGCTGTCAAGTCCTGTCCAGCGTCGCCTCGACCAGCAGCAGCGGCAACAACAACAACAGCAGCAACGGCGCCCCCGCCACCGCCTCCGTTGCCCTTCGGCGTCCCGGGCTTCCTCTACTCGCCGCCGCGCGAGGAAGAAGAGGCGGCGTTGCATGCACTGGCGAGTCGGCTGCTCGGCAGCTGCAGTGGCGGCGGCGGCGGCAGAAGAAGCGACGACACTGACGACTGTGAGGAACACCAAGTGACGACGGCGTCGTCTTCGGCGAGTGCCAGCGGGAGAACGAGTTTCGAGCTGCAAGAAATGCAAGAGACCGGCGCCATGGCGGCTAGGTTCCCGCTGGTGCAGCTGGTGGCGTCGTCGCGGTCGGCGTCCCTGGATTTGCCGATGGTCAGCAGTCCAGGGATGATGGGCGCCGGTTCAGTGGCGGCTGCTGCTGCTGCTGCTGCTGGGGATGGCGGTGCTGGCGACGCTGCAGGAGTGTCGCCTGTTGCTTCTCCTGCACCAGGTAAATACAACATCTGCTGCAATACTTTTTTTAGCTAATAGTTCAGGACTTTTCGTTTGTTTGTTTGTTGCAAACTATGAATTGCTGCCAAATTTTGGCATACTGTATTTCTTATGATTTTTTAATAGTGTCCTTCGTTCGTTTTGAGACCCACGCAAAAGTCCGCCCGATTTTAAAATTTATTTCAGTTGCCCAAGTATGAGTGGTCCAAAACAACTTATCGGAATAAAAATTGAAATCAGCATCAGGGTGATCTGAAAAAACAAGCATTATTCAGAAAAAAAACTGTACTCTGAAGCACGAGAAAAATGCAGCTCTCAGTTTGACACATTTCGCAGATTTTTTTTTTTAAGTCACCCTGATGGCAGCTTTCTGCTCTCCACTTAAAATATAAAGCACATATTTTTTTGTGTAGCTCGTATTCTCCTTCAGCATTTCTGAGATTGACATGGCATAAATTCCAAAGGTTGCCTGTAGGTCTTTCCAATATAGTTCCGCCATTTTCATTCAAAGTGGCGGCTGTTGATGGAAATAGCGGAACTAATAATGGCGGCAATTCTTTGGTTTAATGGCATGTACATTTTAATAACTGCGGAATGCTGCCATGTAAGACTTTTGCAAAAAAATATCTATCTGCAAAATGTGTCAAACTCCGCTGGATTTTTATTTTGCCGAAACATGTATTTTTTTCTGAACAATAATAGCTTTTCAGCACAATCCTATACCGTTCAAATTTTATTCCGAGAACTTCTGTTAGACCCTTCGTACAATATTGTCTACATCACTTAAACAATATCGTATTTTTCTCTTGAAATAGTGCTGCAAAATCTTGAAACCAAACGGAACGTTGTTCGGAACAGAGAAAAGGGTCTCGGTGAGCTTTCGAGTATGAAGTCGAATACTTTCCAGACACTTGGCAGATACAGGAACGTCTGGCCAAACCAGACTCATATTTCACTCTCCAAAGTGCTACCTTAAATCACTGCATGGAATCTACCCTGGAATTTTCGTAAAAACAAAAAAAGGTTTCTTTGTGTCTCTTTCTGAGGGATTCAAGTCGAGGCGGCATAAACTAAAACCAGAGCGACAAAATTTTAATCAATTTATCTTTCGCTCATTATGTGCACTTCGTCACTTTGGCGATTTTTGAACTTCTCTTGAGATTAACTATGGACAATTAATGTATATTGAGTTTTTATTTTTATTTTAAAAATTTATTCCTGGCATTTCGCCGAGGATTGTGCCGACGCACCTGCGAAACTGCTATAGTACAGTACTGTACGTGTCTTTCTGTAGTGTTATTAATTTTTTTCAATTCTCATCAGTGGATTTTCTTGTTCGTTTTGTTTTTTTCCTCCACAAGACTGATGAACTTTCAAAGCTGGGTGACACCTTTTCCTCGCGTGGATTTATTGCCCAGTATTCCTTTTCCACTCTGTCTCTTAATTGTCGTCTTCTCCAGAGTTCATTAATCCCGGGTCAAAGACAAAGAATCTTTTCTAGAGTTTTAGATAATCTTTAGTGTAGAGGAATTCCACCCGGTGATTGTTCTTTTAAAGCATCTTCAATGCGGCTCGATTCACGGCTGAAATTTAAATGCTGTAATTATGAAATTATTGATTTCAACACGAATTACAGGACAGTTTTTTTTTTGCAGAACCGCGTGCACATGACGGAAAAACTGTGCTGAAAGAATAAGCTAAGAATTTCGGTCTGTTTTTGATTATGATTTAGAGTAATTTCTTGATGAGATTCATTTTTCATTTTTGTTCAGATGAATATAGTTCAATCTGTTTAAGAAAATTTCAAAATTTAGAATAATGGACTGTTTAATTTTTTCTAAATGTTGTCAAAGCGAGAAATTTCCCGGATGTCTGGGCTGATTTTTTTCCTTCACGTTTCAAATGTCCCCAGTAAGTCGAATCATCCCCGTATTATTGGCGCGTCCCTATATATCGGGGTATAATCCATCATTGTATTTCTCTGGAATCGGGTTACTGTAATACGATGAAATGTTTCAGTTAACTTGAATTTTCCCGTATTTGTTTCCTCCTCTTATTTATTGAAAACAGACAGTGGCATCCGCAACAGAGCGACGTCTTTGACCGTGTCCGACGGCAGCCGTCCCCGCCTGACGCGTCAATGCGGCCGGGAAAGTCCCTGTCTGCTGACCGTGGGCTCGGATGCGTCTGGCTCCCGACAGGTGTCGCCCACACCGTCCTGCGGCAGCATGTACCAATACCAGTACCAACAACAACAACAGCCGCAGCAACAACAGCAGCAACAACAGCGAAGTCCACAGACGCCACGGCGGTACTACAAGCGTCCCCCGCGTGGCCCCTATGGCGAAATGCTGGAGGCGGAGATGTCGCGATCGTCAGTGTCGGCCAGGTCCACGCATCTCACCGACGAGCTCAGCAACTTGTTGTGTGACATTGCCACCAGGGACGCCAAGCAGCTGCTGGGCAGGCCGGCGAGTCCAGCAGCGGCGGCGCCCGGCTCAGCTGCAGCTGCCGCCACCACCTCCGCCGCCTCCGCCGCCTCTTGCATGGTAATTTGCCCCACCATCCAACCAGAGTCCTCATCATCACCCCTCATCCTGTCTTCACCCTATTTTTTCTTCTTTATTTTTCTTAAACCGGTTCTTCGCTTTCTCATCTTTTTTTCTGGGGAGTAATTTGTTGGAATTCGTGGTTATTGAAAGAAAGAAATCAGCTGTTGAGCAGATCATCCAAGACCTATACTGTGATGGGGCTTTTTCATTCTCTGTCGAACCATGGGATGTTTCAGCGCATCAAAATTATTGCTGAAATACATTCTTGAATTATAACGCATGATTCTAAATGAGTAAACTGTCAAAACAGTGGAAGGAAGAAACGCAGGCAAAGTAAACATTTCAACGCATGGCAACTATAGGAAAATAAAAATAAATGATTCATCGAGGCTAAAGCAAAGGAAAATCCTTAGAACATCATCTTATTTAATTGTTTATGCATTCGATTTAATAAACGCGAAGTTTAACATGATTTCATGCATTGAAATAAGCGAAATGTTTCATCGAGGTTGTGGAGGAGACTGCGCAGGCAAATACTTATTATTTATACCAGTATTTGATTTAATGAATTGAAAGTTTAACCTGGGTTGATGAATTTAATATCTGAAAGACTATAGACAAGTTGAACATGTCCTGCCAAAAAAAGTACGAGCAAAAAACTAAACGAGTCCTTCTTTGTCGTTGTTGCAGATATGAACTTGATTTATATTTCATTTTCGATCTCTTTTTCTGAAGCGAATGATCACGCACTCATTTTGCATGCGCACAATTTTTGCAAATCCGAATTCAATATGGAGGAATCGATTCATCAATCGACTGATAATTCATTTTTTCTTTCTGGAATCAATTTTTGAGTAGATTTCTTCAATCTTTGTCCCTGAGAATTTCAAACAAATATATTTTGGCAAAAAAAAGAAGAAACGTTAGAAATGACGAATGAATTGTTTATTTAGTGTCAACCCCCTTATACAACCCCAAGAACATCGTACCTCGTCTGCTTAACTGCAATCTTTGTTAGTAGGATTTCTTTTGGTTGCAATTTTTCCTGTCTTTCTTTTCCTTACCTCGTGAGATGGCCAATGAACTTTGTGAGGCCCTTCTCTGACTTCGGGGATGCTGAGAGAGTAAAGCACTGCATGAGTTGCAGTCACCGATCTTCTATAGTCTGTCCTTCATTTCACTTACTTTCTTTCCATTTATGTTGCACCATTTGTTTTCTTTATATATTTTTTGATGAATCTACTGTACAGTATTCTAGATTCATCATACTCTCATACTCTCGACTGATTTATTTGTGAATCAAATCCTGTACTCATTGTATGAGTACCATGTGACCTCAAGTAAAATGCCTTTCCCGTGATAGTGGCTCGAAAACTGAAATATTTAGAAAAAAGAAGGAATACCCAAATGTGAGTTTAGACATGAATTGATTCCTATGTCAGCTTATTTTCAATTATTTGCATTTCAGTAAGTTTTTTCTGTTAAATTTGGTGCAAATTGTCTCGTTAGACAATAATGATGCACACGTAACACCTAAATTTCTGAAACTTGAAAAATCCCCATTTTTCCTGTCAATTTTGAAGGCGAAAGAGGTGCGCGTGCTGGTACTCAAGTAATTATGGCTATTTGTTTTCATTTAATTTTAGATCAATTTAAATAAGCAAGAGTTGGATTGTAATGTATAGAGAGAGAGGAACTCCGATCTAATGTGAATTTTCCTTCTTTTCAATTTCCCCCCAATATTTTAGCAGACGACGTCCTTGATGAGGCCTGGAAGCAGACTCAGCGGCGAGTCCTTGTCCCCGTCTCCAGGTGGCGCCACCGGCACCAGCATGCTGCGAGACGCCAGCACGACCCCTGGCGACGGCGGCAAGAAACAGAGACACAAATCCGGGCTGCCCTGCGTGGCGTCCGAGTCGGACTTTGAGAAACTCCGCGCGGCGGCGACTCATAGCCGCGGGCCATCGAGTCCCGCCAAGTTTGCCTATTTGGACTCTGTGTGTGCGTCTGAGGATGAGCACGAGGACTCGTCTTCGTGGACTCGGCCGGCGGCCATGAGTGCGGACGAAATCACGGCGAGTGAGTCTCGGGCTGATCGGGAGATGTCGCTTCTGCAGCAGCGGAAGGCGTCGCACAGGAAGCGGAATAAGGTGAGTACTGTACTGTAGTAGTCATCATCATGTGCAATTATTGATCTTATTTGCACGCGTTTGTTCTTCCCGGCGGAAAGATTGATGCTGCAGTCGAGGAAAGGGCGGTTTATTGAGTGGGTTCTCGGGATTTTTTTTTCCTTTTGTACTGTATGCATGTAGACTGCTTTGGTTTCTGTCTTTCGGCGTGTTGAGACGTGAACATACTGGGGGGTTCATGCTATTTTTTTTTTACAGTTTATTATTCCATCAGTCATCGAAATTATTTTTGGTTTTTTATATGGTTCGAATAGGATAACTTACCTAAAAGTTACTGACACAAATTCAACTACTGCACTCCTTATAACAAGGGTTATTCATGCTCAACGCAGGCGCCCCATAAAATTGCCTCACAAGCCATTTTATTGAAATTGGATTTGAAACCACCATAAAAAACGAAAATGAACAGGTCGAGGTCGACATGTCAATTCATTGCGGCCAAAACGAAAAGGGCCATATTTCTCAGCGGATGAAATGTTGCTTTCAATAAGACCTGAAAAAAAAGGTGGAAATGGAGTGATATTTTTCGAGAAACGTCAGCATGACTATCATGGAAACGTCTGCTGAATGTTCAGCTGATATCGCGGGTTCTTCACACGTATGCGACGTTCATCCTTCGAGAATATTTGTGTAGATGTCGCTTGAAGTGCGGAATGGTGCAAATGAAACCGGATTCTCAGTAAAAACCGGAGAATCTGGGACCAAAACCGGACATTTGATGTTCGGTTCATGGAATTTTGATTCCAAAATTTTTAATCTGAAGCCTCAAATCTTCTTCTGCAGGCGGAGGAAATTCTTCAAAAAATGATTTGTATCTCAATACAAATTTCGACGTTTTCCATCAGTCCATCGTCGAGAATCTACAGTATATTCTTCTCAGATAAATTATCCAGAACGGGATCTGCATCTTAATCGGGTCCGAGAATGAAGTGGATGATTTTCAATAAATCGCATTTCGTGCTTTACAATATAGTTCCCTGCTGGTGTTCCCCATTTTTGACGAAAAGGGAGACTCATTTCCGAGACCTTGATTTTTGTTTGTTTGATCGAAGCAGGGCCTTCAATGAGAAGACAAAAACACATGGCCCCCATGTGGTTTCGCCGTGTGCGGGGTCAGGGCGATTTTAGGGTCGGCGGAAAACTTCCCCCCGCTGCACGGGTTGCCCTTTGAAAATAACCCAGGAGCCACAGGCCATTCAACTTTCCCAGCAATGAGATACAATACTTCTCTTTTCTATTGGTTCCTCTGATGGGTTCATCAGGAAAATGAATTCAGCACATGTATTCTTATTGCAGAAATCAAAGCCATTCTGATGATGAGAAAAACAAAATCCCGAGGAAAAATATTTCGAATGAAAAAATATGCCTATTATAATGACATCCAAAAAAGGCCTCGTGCATTTTTATGTGGAAAAATTAGAGGCGTTTCAATGTGGAATTCTTCCATAAACCGTTTTAAAATATCGAATGATTGATGTTCATACATTTGGTTTTGGGATTGTGTCAGATATTTTTTGGTTCTAAAAAACAATAATTTATTTTGACCGAACTTGAAAAAATAAAATACCTTGTTAATTTAAGTTTGATCCTGCTTCTCTAAAAATATTGGTCCAGTTGCTGCAAGTCTTATGCAGTACAGCATTAGTTTCACTCATTCTTACGCTTTCTGGAAGACAAGTTTTCCAGACGACAATATTCGTATTTTTTGTTGAAATTGATGTTCCAAAGGAAGCTTAAAAAGCATTAAACAAATGTTTGGTATCCTGCGAATCGTCTAACGATGTTTATTAATAATTCAGGTTTCCTGAAACCAGCGAATTCTGCTAGTAATTTGTGCGAAGATCCAAGAAGTCTGCCATTAGGAAAAACAACAAGATCAGCACGTGAGAAGCGAGACGAGCAAAAAATCTCCCGGAAGCATATGCTGCCTGTTGTTTATTTCCCAAAACAAAATT